TGGTACTTCTCTTAATCACATCATCTCAAAACGAAATTTCAGATCGAGTACTTTGTCATTTCTGCTTCAAGCCCAAAAAAGTCACAGAAGCGGTCCTAGGTTTTGATAATACCAGAAAGAGCCAAAACATGATTTCAAGCATCATCTTACTTAAGACTGCATTGGATGCTTTGCCTCTACTTGCTAAGGCATTTTTCTTTCTCCTTTGTTATCAGTTTGTTCTTTCTTGATTTGGCAGCTATGTCGATGACCTATCCCTGAACTTTGCCACGCCATGTCCTAATGCAGGTTTTGAAGGACGCAAAGTGTTTTCTCCTTACCAATGTTTACAAGTCTGTGTGTGAAAATGATAGATATGCTTCCATCAGAAAAAAGTATGCCACTAGTGGATCTGGATATTAGATATTGACTATGCAGTTCGTTTCTGGATGTCGTTTCCATTTCCCCTCAAGGTTTCTAAAACCTAGAGTTTAGAAGTCACTAACGTCTGTATCCTCTTTTTGTTTCAGAATCGGGGAAGTTATTGATGATGATGTTCTCCATGCACGAGTTCCTTTTGTTGCCCGCACACAGCAGTGTTTTGCTTTAAAAGCCGGAATTGATGGATTTTTGGATATTGCAAGGAGAACCTTTTGTGATACTAGTGAAGGTGAACCAAGAATTATGCTTCTTTTTGTATTATCACTTATTTTTCCTTTGTTCTGCTAATCTATAATCTTGAAAACATTGACAGCAATACATAATCTGGCCAGTAAGTATCGTGAGGAATTCAACTTGCCAAATTTAAAACTTCCTTTCAACAACAGGCAAGGCTTCTTTTTCAGAATTCCACAGAAGGAAGTTCAGGGAAAACTTCCAAGCAAATTCACTCAGGTCAAAAACGCACTTTCGTTGGAAATTAGTGTTCTATCTATAATATGGGCTTCCTGACTCTATATGTCTTGTACGTGGTATGTTCCAGGTTGTAAAACATGGGAAAAATATTCATTGTTCGAGTCTGGAACTGGCTTCTGTAAGTTGAATTATCAAAATTTCAGATGCATTGTTTCCTTGTGTGGCACTCGCGGTGCTTAATCATTTTTAGCAGTTCAGGAAGTACTTTAGTTCAGGCTCACATTACAGCTATCTATACAGAGTTCAATATTTGATGCAAATGATAATAAATGAACAAAACACCATGGATATGTTTGATGAGAAGAATGAGCCCTCAAATCTAGGACAAGTAGGAGCTATGTTCATGATTTCAGGAACCTAGACACAAGGTTTCATCAATATTGACCGTACAATGATCTGTTGTGCAGTTGAATGTCAGGAATAAGTCTGCCGCTAGAGAGTGTTTCATTCGAACGGAAATATGCTTGGAAGGTTGATAATTTCACATTGCTCTTAAGTCTCAACTATATGTAGTAAGACAAATTATTACAATCCTATCATGCTTGATTCACTTAAGCCTATTTCACTAAACTTTATCCGTATGTATGCAGCACTAATGGATGCGATAAGGGAAGATATCTCTGCCCTCACGCTCCTAGCAGAAGTCTTATGTCTCCTAGATATGCTTGTTAATTCATTTGCTCATACAATATCCACAAAGCCAGTGGATCGATACTCTAGACCTGAACTAACAGGTAGCTGGTTTCTCACTATCATTCCTTGAGTGAAATAATTGACCAACGTTTTGTGTGGAATATACTTGCCTATTGTTTGGCAGATAGTGGCCCACTGGCAATTGATGCTGGAAGGCATCCCATACTAGAAAGCATACACAACGACTTTGTTGTAAGTTGTTCGCGCTATTTCTCATGATGCTGTCATCCCTCAATTTATTCTGAGAAATCCATCTTGTCCGATTAATAAGTTCCGCCAACAATCTATCAGACTCTGAAGTAAATCATTTGATTTTGGGGGCCGTGCACCATTTTTAACACAATGTCTGTTTTGCAGTCTAATAGTATCTTCATGTCAGAAGCAACCAACATGTTGGTAGTCATGGGCCCAAACATGTAAGGGAACTCTTACTTACTTCCTCGAGTGCTTATCAATCGTTCAGCAACTCACCTACTCGTATTTGTCTTTGTATTCCATATCTCAAGGAGCGGAAAAAGCACATATCTCCAACAGGTGTGTCTAGTAGTCATTCTTGCTCAGATTGGCTGCTATGTCCCAGCTCGCTTTGCAACTATAAGGGTAGTTGACCGCATATTTACAAGAATGGGGACAATGGATAACCTTGAGTCGAACTCAAGCACGGTAATCCTTTAGATTCTGGCCCAGATTTTAATATGACTCTTAACGATTTGGCCTGTTGATAAATGCCAACAGTTTTGAAATACAAATGAGAGATACGATATCACGATTCTCATTCGTCACTTTCAATGTCACAGTTTATGACAGAGATGAGAGAGACCGCTTTCATAATGCAGAATGTCTCCAACAGGTATCGTTGACGGAAGCAATGATACAAACAAACCTCCCCCTCAGTTTCATATCTTAGTAATGCCTGAAAATGTAGGAGTTTGATAGTCATGGATGAACTTGGGAGGGCAACTTCTTCCTCAGACGGGTTAGCCATGGCATGGAGCTGCTGCGAGTATCTCTTATCACTCAAAGCGTAAGCATTTAACTGAGTCTTTCCCACTGCCCAAAAGCTACTTCAAGTAAATGCAAATGTGTAATTTTTGGCTATAAACTTGCAGGTACACAGTATTTGCAACCCATATGGACAGTCTCGCTGAGTTAGCAACCATCTATCCAAATGTCAAGGTTCTTCACTTTTATGTAGACATCAGAGACAACCGCTTAGACTTCAAGGTTCTATCTGCCTTCCTCTCATATGGGTTTGAGTTTTAGATACTGCTGCTGAATAGTACATTTTTCTTATCAGTTTCAACTGCGAGATGGAACCCTACATGTTCCACACTATGGCCTTCTATTAGCCGAAGTGGCTGGTCTGCCCAATACAGTGATCGAAACAGCTAGGAACATAACCTCAAAAATCACTGACAAAGTACTACCCAAAACTTACTAAATAGTCTAGCATAAAAACTATTAAGCTCTACTTTGTTCAAAAATAAAAAGAACTACTAAGCTCTTTTGCCACTTGTTCATGATGATTGCGCAGGAAAATAAAAGAATTGAGCTAAACTGTGGAAAGCACCAAGAGATACATAGGATCTACCGAGTTGCTCAAAGGTTGATATGCTTGAAATACTCTAGACAGACAGAAGAGTCGATTCGTCAAACTCTCCAAAATCTGAGGGACAGTTTCATAGAACAAAGGCTCTAATAGCACACAGTCTTCATAGTTCAAATTATGTTCAGCTATTTCATTCTCAATCAATTTTAGGAGTTGGGATTAAACAGTCAGGTTTATTTTCATCTTGAAAATATAAGGTACGAGGAAATCTACACTTGGGATGATGACTAACAACAAAATAACAATAAAAATTAACTCTCTGGTCAGATTTAAGTTTTTAAGAACTCAAAACTTGAAACAAACTCTTGAATGTAAAAAAGTCTTCCATCCCAATGTAATTCCAGAATTCCGAAACACAAATCCACACGGATGATATACCACTTAGAGCAAAACAAAACATAAAGTTGATCACCGGTAACGACGGAGTACCACACTGTTGTTCTTCTTCCAGGTAGCCCTGCGAGAAGGACGGTTCTTGTGGTTGTTGTGACCCTTTCCACGAAGACCACGATTCTTCTTTCCTTCTGAGGTGAGCCCTCTGAGTTCTCTGTGCTTGTGCACTGGGTTGCAGATCCAGTTGATCCTTGGATCATTTCGGACAGCATTGTGTGCAGGGTCTACAAGGATAATCTCGTAGTACTTGTAGGTAGAGTCCTAAGTAAAACAGAGACAGCCAAATTTACTTACCACCAAAAATACTATCACGTTATCAGACCCGAAATGCTATATTGGATACTGTAATTAAATAAAAACTAGGATTTGATGCATACCTCATTGAGCCAGTAGGAGTTAACGACCCTAAGGCCACCCAATTTGCGACCAGCACGTTCCTCAGCAACAGATCTCTTACTACGCTGGAATTTGAGCTGTGTTACTCCCTGGTTGGTGGGTTTACCATACACGATACCCTTAGGAACTGGCCTCTTGCGACCACCACGTCTGACACGAACACGGTAGACAACAAATCCCTGTTAATGAGAAAAAATGAAGTCAGAAACACACACTCAAGAGAATGACAAACATTATAAGAAGGTACACTTTTTATCAAGGATTAAGAAAATCCAGGGCATAAGAAGATGTATCAATCTTAGACAGGAACAGAGTCCACAGAAGATAAAGAGCTGTTCAGTCAGAAGAATGAATCGATGTAGCTGGGTTCAGGAAGTATTCTATCATATAGGCGCAGACAAAAATGCCTACGCTTCAAGACACCGCTTAACCAGCAAATTTTATAAATAAAAGCTTCAATCAACATTGACTAAGACTATAGACGAATTCTAAGTAAACAAACAAAATGAAGAGAAGAAAAACACCTGCTTGGCCTTGTATCCCAGACGACGAGCTTTGTCGGGACGAGTGGGTCGAACAAGACGAACGATTGAAGGTTGCTGGCGATACTCCCAGCACCTAACCCTCTGCAGAAACCTCATAACATCCGACTGCTTCTTCCTCCATAACTCCGACACGTATTTGTACGCCCCTGTAAGTCAAAAAAATCACATTTCATTCTTCTTTAGTTCATTTCTCACACAAACAAATCTAATAACAAAAACTCAATGAAGCAATACAGAAACATCATCAAAGAGAGACAGAGCTGTGAACAAACGCCGTACCCATTGCGATTACCGGCGTCGCAGTCACTTCTTCCTTCTGATTAGGTTTTTGCTTTAAATAGATGACACCTTGGGAGCAGCTAGGGTTTCCAAATGACTAACTAACTATTATTGGGCTTTTTAAACCAACTTCAAATAATGGGCCTTTGCCACAACAATAGTCTTCTCTAAATGAACTTTAGGGCCCATGTGAACTTCAAAGGTAAATACAGAAAAAACGTAAAGAGAAATAGGGGATTGGATTTGGATACGGATACGAGGGTTCTCTGATCAAACCCTAGAGTTCGTCTTCTTTTGTTCCTGTTCATGCGATAATAATATCCATCGGTTTCTTCTGGGATACACTCATCAAATCGCTCAAGATTTCTCTAACCTTTTCCTCGAGATCGTCTGCAATTTCACCGCGGCTTCCATTTTATTTCCCAGAGTCGTTGGCTTGGAGAGTTTCTCGAGATCGTCTGGATTGAAGCCATTCGTTTGATTTATCTGTCGCGGCCGGTTCATAAGGACATTTCTGCAGTGTAGCTGAGCATTGTCCCCTGCGATATTTATTGGAATCAATTCAAACTTATGGGAGAATCTCGTTGATCTGATGCCATCTTGAAGCGCGTGAGAGAGGTTTCGCCTATCGAATTTGTTGAAGTCGAATCAGAGAAGTAAAGAATCATATTGAGTTTTTCCCCTCTTGTAGTTTACATTTTTGTTCTATTTGGGAAATCAAATTCTGGCCTCCATATTTTTTTTTAATTTAAGGAAGGGCTTGGATTAAGGTTTTTTCAAAAGAGTAGAGAGATTCTTGTGTCGTGTGTTTTTTAGTAATACATATATATGTATTTTGATTCATTATCAGATTAAATCCAATGGCAATTTATTACAAGTTTAAGAGTGCGAGGGATTATGATACCATCCCCATGGATGGTCCTTTTATATCAGTTGGTATTCTCAAAGAAAAAATTTACGAAACTAAGCATTTGGGAAGTGGTAAAGACCTTGACATTGTCATCTCTAATGCCCAAACTAACGAAGGTTTGTCTTCCTCCTTGTTATGCATTTGATCTGCTTTTCATATATGTTCTTAATCCTTAGTACTAGTAGATACGTGTCACATGTTTTGTAACACAACTACGTGACAATTTGGTCTGGTCTTGATCAAAATTTACTTTTATCAAAGTGTGTAGATTTAGAGCATCTGCTATACATCTGGTTTTTACTTTTGTTATCAAACTTTGTTGCATGGCTTGTTGCTATCTTGTGTTGCTCTCTGGTATTGTTTAGTTCTAATTGCTTCTAGTAAAATAATTGTCATGTATTTGAATCATAAAATAGAAAATACTTGTATTTAAGACACCATCCATCATTTTTGCATACTGTATAGTATTCGTTGAATGTGGTAACTTCTGAGGTTAGACTGTTATAATTGATTGTGGTTGTAAACTAATTAAAAAGAGTTACATGTAGACCCCTAACTAGGATTCTTCACTGCTAGTTGCAAATCTGGCCTTTATATTTTCTCTTTGCTGCAATTTCAGAATATCTAGATGAAGCAATTCTGATCCCTAAGAATACTTCTGTTCTAATTCGCCGGATCCCTGGACGCCCTCGCATCAGAGTTATTACCACACAAGAGTAATTTCTGAGATCTATAACTTTAATTTTTAATTTCGTAACTGCTTTGTTCAATCTTAGTGGCTCAAATTCCTCAAATCTGTGAAAGATTGTTAAAAACAGTATAAGCTGGGCATTTCATAATGATTTGTGTGAAGTTATACCACGCTTTCGTGTGTATTGATGTGAATATCTATATTTTGCAGGCCAAGAGTTCAGAATAAAGTGGAAAACGTTCGGGCTGAAATTAACAATTTTGCTACTGCTGATATATCTACGGTGAGTTGTGGCAAATTTTAGGGGTTTTTGTGGGCATTGAATTCCAGTACATAACTATTAATTCACATCTTAATCTATGTTATAGGCTGAAGATGAATTTGATGAGTTTGGGAATGATTTGTATTCAATTCCTGATGCCCAATCTATCCATTCTAGTCACGTCCCTGCACCAGCCGATGATAAAGTAGATGAAGAAGCCAAATTAAAGGCGTTAATTGACACTCCAGCATTAGACTGGCAGCAGTAAGTAGTCTTCTTTGACCTGATGGACTTAGGCATGTGGAATTAGATCTTGACATAGAGTTTGCATAACCTTCTTATTTTCTTTCATGTTACAGACCAGCTACGGATGGTTATGGCCTAGGAAGAAGTTATGGAAGGGGAATGGCAGGAAGGATTGGTGGACGCGGTTTTGGTAATTATATTTTTCTATACGATTAACTTGTATACTTTAATTCCCTCAGATATATTTTGCTCTGGAAATGATTGTATGTGTGTGAGTAGGAATGGAAAGGAAGACGCCGCCACCAGGCTATACCTGCCATCGTTGCAATGTTCCTGGTATTTTAGATTATTTTGTTGAATTTGGTTTTATATTGTTTTTATTGCCTATAAAACTATGTTCCAAGCATCTTTTTCTGCCTCAGGACATTTTATTCAACACTGCTCCACAAATGGTGATCCTAACTATGATGTTAAGAGAGTTAAACCACCTACTGGTATCCCTAAGTCAATGCTGATGGCGACCCCAGATGGCTCTTATTCCTTGCCAAGTGGCGCAGTAGCAGTTTTGAAACCAAATGAGTATGTCATTGCTGAACTAAAATGTCGAAGTTGTTCCTTTGTACCTTTATTCACATAATAAATCAGTTATAATGTCGATCAATATGTGTCAATTTAACAAATTCAGGGATGCTTTTGAGAAGGAAATGGAGGGGTTGCCATCAACAACACGTTCTGTTGGAGAATTTCCTCCTGAACTCAAATGTCCATTGTGCAAAGAAGTAATGAGAGATGCTGCACTGACGAGCAAATGCTGTTTCAGTAGTTTCTGTGACAAGTGTAAGTTTCCTTGTCAATTCCCAATACATCTGATGCTTTTTGTTGTTCCACAAAAGCCTTTTTCTTTAATCATTATCAATTACAGATCCTGGTTGTTTGACGTCAGTTATCTACTATATTATTCAGGTATCAGGGATTATATCATTGCGAAGTCAATGTGTGTCTGTAAAGCAACTAATGTACTAGCTGATGATCTTCTACCAAACAAGACCCTAAGGGATACTATAAACCGTATTTTGGAGTCTGGTAACAGTAGTGCTGAAAACGCTGGCAGCATGTGTCAAGTTCAAGGTATTTCATCTCTCATTCATAGTCTTTTAGTTTTGTTTGTACCATCATTGGTAAACTAAAACGTATTATTTCTAGATGTGGAGTCTGCACGATGTCCACCGCCCAAGGCTCTATCACCTACTACATCTGTTTCATCTGGAGACAAAAAGATACCAGCTCCTAGTAACAACAATGAGACTTCAATTCTAAAGCCGTCAGTAGAAGTAGCGGAGATCACAAGTACTCCCCAGGTGTCTGCAGAAGTGGCTAAAGTGGAAAAGCCAATTGATGCAACTGAAAACACTCAAGAATCCTTGAATGGTAAGGAAGCTGCAGTTTCTGAGCTGAATACGCAGGCAACCAAGGAAGTAATACCACAGCAGGTTGCTTCTGGGGAGCAAGGTAATCACTAGTTATCATCCCATTAGCACAAGGAAGACTAAGTATCACCTTTTTTTTACGTATATGTACATGGATGTCTTGCGATTAGTAATGCATACTTTTCTCTTCACCAGGAAAAAGAAAGAAAAAGAAACCTCGGATGCCTGGAACTGGTAGCTCTTTTTCCTATTATGCTGAGTACTCTTCTTCCCTGTCTATGTTAACTGTATGGAGAGGCTTAACAGATTGTTTGTCTTTGTGATCCGTTGTAGACATGCAATGGAATCCCATGTCAAATCTAGCAGGCCCTGACTATATGATGCCCATGGGTTCAGGTCCCGGTAATCAGTACTTCAATGGTGTGCAAACCGGCTTCAACGGCGTTCAACCTGGGTTCAATGGCTTTCATCATGGTTTTAATGGGTTTCCAGGCCCTTTTCCTGGGGCGATGCCACCTTTTGTTGGCTATGGATTAGGCTCCATGGACTTGTCATTTGGCAGTATGATGCATCCAGATCCTTTCGCTGCACAGGGCTTCGGGTTCCCTAATATACCACCACCTCATAGGTACTGACAAACTGGCACTTGCACTCTCAGTTCAAAAATAGTTTGTTATTTTGGCTCTTTGATTATAGTTAGTTTTTTTCTGGTAGGATCTTTCATTATAGTTATTTGTAAGCTATATAATGACCAGGAATTATGACTTGAACAGGGACCTTGCAGAGATGGGGAATCGTATGAATCTCCAACGTCCTATTATGGGGAGAGAGGAATTTGAAGCTAAGAAAGCTGAGATGAAAAGAAAACGTGAAAACGAAAGACGGTCAGAAGGGTAAACCACTGTGCACTCTCTACTTTCAGGCTTATGCATTACTGCAGCAGCATATTAACTTGTTTGTTTTTGTGTGGTACAGAGGGAATGTCTACAGGGACGGTGAGAAGAGCAGAATGATGAACAACAACTCGGCAGCCTCTTCCTCGCCCATGAAACCAAAAACTGTATGTGTCATTTTGTTGTCTTATTGCTCTCTTTCTCTTTCTCTCGGCCAACTGGTTTGGCTTTCAAGAGACCACCTTTTCAACACTATCTTTTTCTCTTTTATCTCTATCTTTCTCTCTCTCTGCATTTATCATTACGTTGAGGAAAATGGGTTGATTCTACAGTTGCTACATAGGCGTCTGTTTATGTAAGTTAAATTTGGTTTAGGGGTAAAACGTCAAAGGAGAGACATTTAAGAGTAGATGAGGGTAGAGGGAGAAATTGGATCTTAATGCAATAAAATGTATTAACTTGCTGTTATAGGATGCATAAAATGAACTGAAATTTATTTCCACAGTCTTGTCTTAGGCAGTTTGGTCACAAGTAAAGCACGACTGATCCCATGATTCTTTTGCGGTTTTGCCTATTCAAGATAAGAAATTGGTGTGGAAAAAAAAGGATGATAAGTAGAGAGTTATAGAAAGAGATTTTAAATTCAGGGAACATATCGAACGGGTTGATATGCTTTTATATAGTTCCACATTGGACCTTACATTTCTTGCTGGTTCGTCAGAGACGTTGTCCCAAACTGTCCAGTAATATGTTTAGCATTATTTCAAAAAAAAAATTACAATATTGTTATTTATGAAAATATAGATTTTTATTCTATATATATATATATGTGTGTGTGTGTGTGTATTAAAATATTGGTATCAAAATCTTAGTTAATGAGGAAATCTATAGTTTAAGCTATATCTATATATTTTTAAACCAAAAAACACGTTTGTAAAGGATAGTTAGTGGTCACTCTTGATATCAGGGGCCGAAAAATGAAGGTTTAAACTGATAAATGGGGGACGTTTACAGGAAAACACTGTTTACTTCATGCTTAACTAAATAATAAGCTATTGGGCTTAATGTATCTCTTATTGGGCTTATGACCCAAAATTTATTTTCTAATAATTTGATCAATAATGCCTTTGTCTTGAATGAACAGAAACAGGGACCTCTGCCACCGGTTTCGCCGGAATACGACCTTCGCCGGCGATCGGAGAGATTTTCACCGGAGCGACAGTCATCTCGGAGGCTCAAATCTCCCTCTCGATCATCAAGCAGGAGATCTGGGCGCGATCATCACCATGACATCGATTCCGAACACGACCGCCGGCGTGACCGCCACAGAGAGACAGATCGCAAGCAGCGTAAGAGATCCGAAAAGCAATCATCGGAACCAACTGCAACAGAGATTGATGATAACAAGTCCAGCGTGTTCGCTCGCATAAGCTTTCCAGAGGAGGAGCCTTGTAGCAAGCACCGTAAGGCATCATCAAAGTCTTCTCCAGCGCCTCAAGAGAGCATCGTCGCCGCTGTTTCATCAGGTCGTCGACATAGTAAGAGAGAAAGAGAGTCTGCAGATTCAAGTGATGATGAAGACAGACATTTCAAGAGGAAGCCATCAAGGTACAAGCGATCTCCTTCGGTGGCAGTACTACCTTTCGACGCCGGTGGTGATGAGCATTCCCGCCATTCCAAGCGGTCAAAAGGAGAAAGATCGCGAGCTTGATTCAGATGAATGCATAAATGACTGAAACGGCCTTCATCGTCAGCTGCATGGAGACAATGCTGTGGAATGACCAGCCGTTAGAAAAACAAAAAAAAGTAATATGTAGTAATCTATTTTGTTGCGTTAAGTAGAGAAAAAGTCCTCTGTAATGGAATGTTTATGTAATATAAATGGGTTTTATTTTGATCCTCCCTTTTTCAGTTTTTATTTACAACGACTAATGGTACTTTTTATTATTAGAACTTACTTATTTGAGAACTAGGTTTGTATTCGCATTGGTGCCGATCAATTATTTCATCTTATTATTTGTGATATTTTGATTTTAATGAATTATGTGATGTTAAAATATGTTAAACCATTTGTCTAATATTGATCAGGTAGGTTTTGCAGCATAATTTATTCATAAAATTGCACATTTATGAGTATCAAAATGGATTAATCCAATAATCTTTGTTCTGCTGACCTATGGCTCGGACGTTGGCTGGAAAAAAACAAACCGGTTTAGATTAGGCAGAACTCTAAAGAAAGGAAAGGGTTAGATATTTTCTGTCACATTTTAAAAATATTTCCTTTTGTATAAGAAGAACAATTCAAACTTACTACCAATAAAAAAAAAGGAACAATTCAGACTTGACTCACAAAGGGTTTTTTTTTTTTTTTTGTCGACACTCACAAAGGGTTAATCTTTTCATGTTAGGCACAAAAACACTAGCAGATTCTTTATCATGTTTAAATTCTTGCATATGCCTTAAATTAAAAAAAAAATAATAATAATAATAATGTGGTGACTGTTTTCAGCGGAGGGACAAAAGAAAGCAACCTGTCTATTTCACATTTCAGTAAGGATTAAAGAGGACACAATTACAACGTATGCAAGAAATATGAATAATCCTATTTGAACTAATAATCTTGGATTTTCTCTCATATTTGGGGACGTCACCGACCTGCAAAAGCAAAAGAACCCTTATTAGTGAGTCTAGCTTGAATTGTACTTATTATACAAGAAACCATCGTTTTAAACCAACTCCGAGATTTCGATTCTTGACCTTGCAATTCGCTGCGAGAGTCGATGGAATGGTAAACTTTGGATGAACACGATGCCTGGTCCCGTCAGAGTTGCTGTTACTACGTTATCACCCTTTTTAAAAAATAAAATATACAGGATTTGTAAGTTCAACAAAAGGAAACAATCTCGATACATTTTGATTGTAATAGATATGCAACATACCCCAAAGACTGCCCGTCTTACAGCTGTAGCATTGAATTTGATTTGGAAATTGATCGAGGGAGTGAGAGCAGCAATGCAAGAAACATCAATGGTGAGAACTTCTCCTACCTCCAGGTTTTTCTGTACAACTTATGAAGCAAATGGAGTCTGATCAGTTTAAAAGGCCTAAATTGAAAGAGCATCGTCATTTATTGAGATAAACCTTAGTTGCATACCAGAGCCACCAGCGATAATAAAAGCAAGACCCTGGCCGGAGAGCCTTTGTCTCAGAAACCCCTGCAATAATGATTCTGTGAGTTTAAGAGCCAGACATATATAAATTTTCACATACTGTAGTAGCAACTAGAAGAAGTATCGAGGGAAGATACAACTCTTTAAGTTTTGAATGATCTGTGTCAAAAGCCAATTGAATGCATTGTTCTCCTTACCTCAGCCCCAACTGCAGCAATGTTTCTTGCTCTATGTCTCTGGTAAACAGTGTTTACAACTTTCACATCATGGACAGAACAGAGAAATGCATCTGGCTACATAACAAGAAAAAATCCCATATTATTGGGATGAAAAAGCTGAGAACTAAGCATATACAAAAATTGACGGTTTTAGTTCATCCGCTCTACCTGGCAAAGGATGTCACCACCAAACATCGCCAAATCAACCTTCACAAAAAGAAATTAACCGAAGGTCACCAAAACACATAAGATGAGATAAGGAGTCACATTAAGCATGATACTTAATAATAAAAGAAAAAAAATCATGGCAAGCAAGAATCACTAACTGGGAGAATCCTTGCCAACGAAGGTGCAGCAATACCAACAAATCCATCATTTTGCCCGGTGTTGCGAAGAAGAATACTGCTAACACTCTTGCCTAAAATCCACTGTACAACTCCAACCTCTTGCTCAGGGGTGTAAGTATTCTCCATCTCAATGGACCCAGACATGTAGCACATTGAACCTACAGCACCATATCTAGTCAGTTAACTAAATACTATTCAACCCAAGAGATCTTACAAATCTGAATGAGCAATCATAATAAGGAGAAATGACCATTCCAAGGCATTCAAGGAGGATTAAATTCCAATGAAGTTAACATTAAACAGAATGGAAATTACCAGGCTTAGCAATGACCTTCTCCTGTGGTTTTAACATTATCTGTTGACAAACAATCCAATGATCAGAAAACTCAATGATAAACACAAGCTTCACAGACTACAAAAATATTGTCTGACTTACCTGAACAACCTGTGCTTCACCACCCAAAATCTGGAAAGGTGTGATCGTGTCTTCCTGACTCTGCATCACATGAGCACTTGTGAGACTATACTCTTACAGACGGATTCAAAGAGATCAATTCTCTCCCAGGAAATAGCTCATTAGCATTATCACAAAACGTAATCATGAAAACTAAATCACACTGGATCGTTGGCTTAACAGTGATAAGTACACCTAGTGGTCATAAACGAATTCAAAACTCAGCATCACAAAGCCCTCAACACCTACATGAAAGGATCCTAAAATACTCTCGAAAGAAGTACATTTGGACACTAGCCTTCTCGACAGTCTAGGCAGAAACACGAATCTTAAAGGCGAGAAGGAAGATAGAAGAGAACCTGATAGACATAAGGCTGAAATGGGGTAGAGAAAAACGGAGCAGCCATGGCGGTGAAAACCGCAGAAAGATCTTCGAACACAAAACCTCCGAATCCAAAATTCAACAGAACCTCTCCACACCAATTCGATTCGAAAACGTTCCGCGTCGATGCGTAAAGGTCAGATCGCAGTAGAAGGAACCTCTGAATTTTCTCAAAAGTCCGGTCGAACTGTTCGCGGTGGATGTGACCGACGGTAACCCAACAAATGAACGCCCGATTTAATTCGCTTAAATCCGTCTAACACTACACACTGAAGCTGCACGTGGAATCTTCTTACGTGGAGAGATCTCATTGGTCATAAATTACACATCGACGTAAGTTTTGAATCCGGTTTAATATAATTTGGTCTCTAAAGTCTCATCCAAACCACTTCCACAATTTGTCTTTGGTACAAAACTTCCTTATTCAAAACCGGTTTAAACACATTGGTACAATTACAAATCTAGTCGAAAGCTACAAGGATTCCACAAGAACATCTACAAAACTCACAAAACCCAAGCACCCATCCCACGCAACCACTCTTCTCTCTTCCATTGCTGTCTTGATGTCTTCGCTCTCAGGCCCGAGCCATTCCTCGTGTGAATTACCAAAGTAGCTTTATTCTATTAATAAGAAACTAGATGGTTTCCCACAAAACTTAACATTGCAAAACAATCCAAAAAGCCTGTTTTCATCACCAATACCTCAAGTGGAGACATATGACAGATCTATCTCTCTCTGTCCATGTCTATACAAAGACCGGCAAAATTTAACCAAATCACTCCACATTGGCTAATCCAGCAGATGAAATCCAATCTGGAAACAAAAATCAAAGAAATACAGTCCGAGTTCAAATATTACACGCATTGTATTTCCTCATCATCTCTACACTATCAGCTATTGTAGACCCTGCAGTGCCAACGAAACCCAGTGAAGCACAGCTGCAAACAGCTTCCTCTATGTAAAGCTGCACATTGGATACTTCATGAGGAGAACAATGGTTCTGCATCTTTTTGATACTATCAAGACTCATCGGAATAGACCCAAATTTCTGGCCGTGAGCCGCAGAAGCAAGCTCATGGTCTGTTCGCACTAAGAGTTCAGCTTGTTCCTCTATAAAGTGGAGCTTGAAATTTGTAGAGTTCTTAGACAAATCACCCAAGTAAGTTCCGGTCCAGTTACTTTCAGGAAGGTCTGTCATTACAAACACATTAATTAGACCCGGATTCTTTAATCTCAAAGATTCCAACTTCTGGTATAAACCCGTAAACGTGCTCTCCCGATGATTCTTGAACTGGCCATCTAGTAATCTAAGCTGGGCACAAAGAAATGGTGCCTTTATGGTTTCTGAGGCAAATTTCTTGCCTGCCCTCATTATCTCTTGAACAAAGGGAAGGAAATCGACCTTCTCAATCAGAGGTTTTATCTTTGAAGATTTAAGGATATCGATATATAGTTCCGAGCCTTTGTATGGAGCCGTGAAGAGACTCCCAAATGCCAGGATAGCTGCAGACTCAGCTTCTGTACCATGTCCAAGAGTCTTATACACATCTCGACGCCTTCTCACATAGGACAGTTTCTTCTTCTTCTTGAGCTTCTCATCGGGCTGGAACGAATCTAATCTTCCATCGGCATCTCCATTTCTATACGTCCAAACCGTGGTTCTACAATCTTCATCCACACCATACAAACATTTATCTACATTGCCACGAACTCCAGATAACAAATAGCCACACTGTTTAAGTGATTCATACGCCTGAGGTTTTTCAGCTAATTCATCAGAGCATAGAGCCTCCAAATCAACACCACACAGTAGTGATGCAAAGTACCTAAGATCAATGACTCGAACAGCCGAAGAAGATACCAGCGACGAAATGTCTACAATATCAGCCATTGAAACGTACCTACAAAAACCAAAAATTCAATACTAAAACCCATTACGAAAAAAGAGATTTTGATACATGAAATGAAACAACAAAAGATTGTGTACCTGTTATTCATAAGAAGCTCAATTGAATGATTCCAAACAGAGAGACGTATATCGCTGGGGTTCAAAACCCTAAATTTAGGACAGCTGCCGAGAGCGACGGCGTGATGATCGAGAATCGGAGGGACAATTAGGGTCCGATTAAGAATTCCCGCCATAAGAACCGCATTCTTAAATTCCGACAGCTGATTACTGAATCCGCTGTGAGGAGCGTACCAGAGAAACTTCTGACCAAGAAGAGTTCGGGTAAGAATCTCGGATCTGCACTGAGGGAATTGAACGGATCCAGAAAAGGCGGAGATTGAGAACAGGGACTTGGGCATCTCGGAGTAAGTGATGAAGAAGACGACGACGACGAAGAAAACAACAAGTAGAAAAACGGAGCAAAGGAATAAGGCAGGTCTGTTGGTTTGCTTCTTCCTGTTCGGCCATGGCTTCGGGCTTGGTCTACTGGGAGTGAGAAAATTGTTCATTTTTTCTTTTTGCTCTAAGATTTTTCAGACTGGCCATCATTGCGTGGATGTCTACTTTTTTTTACCCCTGTTGTTAAAACGGTGCGTATCATTATAGTGTATGTTGGTTTTATAAGCAAACCAACAAATCTGACGTCTTGCAATTGGGTTGCATCATTGATGTATTTTTAAACCGGTTGGTTTGCTTATAAAACATCAGATTAGATTTCTTCTTACCAAAAACCGGTTAAACACATTGGTACAAATTACAAATCATTGTAACAAACTACCAACGATTCCGCAAGAAGATGTACAAAATTCGCAATAAGCTTCAACCATCTTTTGTTTTGGTTTAATGTTAATATACTGGACATTGGATACTTTATGAGGAAAACAAATGGTTTTGCATCTTCTTTATACTGTCCGGAAGCAACCCTATATACTTTACGAGGAAAACAAATGGTTTTGCATCAATCTCGTGGTATGATGTTTAACTTCATATATGAATTAATTAACATAAATGTGAGAATAAATCATCCAAGAATTAGCTGACAAAGAGAACCAAAGGTAGAACATGCGTATTCAAGGATAGAACAAAACAAAAACAAGTTGTTTGATGAGATCTCTAGTAATTTTCTTACGCTTAACCACAGCCAAATATGGTTTTAGTAGAGAAGGCAAATGAGAACCAGAATCTGTAAACGATAACTAAAGAAATCCAGACTAGTAGTATCCATAAGGAGGAAGTAGAGAAATCCAGAGATATATAAAAGAAGAAAAAGTTGTGCAACAAACGAGAAGAGATGGATACATGAGGATAATTAGAGAGAAAAGATGGCTACACTTGATCCTCGAGAGCTTGTGCTGGAGTTGACGTAACCATCAACCTTGTATTCATTCTAGCCATTCTCTCCTTTCTAGCCTTGCTCCTCCTCTCAAACATCTCATTCTCCTCCTTGATGGCTAAATCATACTCTTCCTTGCTAGTGACATTTTTCACTCGTTCATTAATTGCCCAAAAGTCTGTAGCTTTCAACTTTGCCATATAGCGATCGGCAATCTTCTCCACAAGCTCAGGCTGGCCTCTCACAGAATCAGCGCAAGCAAATTCCAATTGTTGTTGTCCAGCTTCAGACGATATAACCATCTTATTAAATTCCTGAGTATTTGCAAATATCTTATTAGAAGAGAACTTCTATTACATACACAGTACAAAAGTGTGGTTTTTTTTACTAATTGTAAATAGTAAACTGATTATATATCCAGTTTACAAAATACACTAATCTGCCCATTTTCCCTAATAATAAAGATGTCATCTACGTAAATAATAGAATAATGATCAAAACTTTTCATCAAAGTCCATTGGATCACACTGATATGATCCTAACGTGTCGGATTTTGGAAATTTCGAAGGAGAGATTAGTCAACAACTTGTTGACAAGTTTGGAATGCACATATTAAAAGTAGGGATGCATATAGTCCATAGGTCCTAAAAGTCAATATTGTCTAAGAGAGAGCTCGTTTTGATTATATATATTTCTTACTAAAATTTTGGAATGAGAGGAGACACATAGACTTAGAGAAACAGTCAAAGCACTTGCACTTGTAGATTGAATAGCAACTGTACGTTATTCCCAATTAGCCAAAGCACCATCTCAAGAAATATCCACTAGAATTATCCTCTAAACTTAACGTAACTTAACTAACTTGTCTTTACATGTAAACAATGAGATGATCCATTAGCAAGGGACATGCAAATCTCATTAAACATAGAAACCGAATATATGTTCCATCCTATATACTCAACAAAAAATTTGTTTCTTTATCTACAAAACTATCAAGAAATGCTAAACACATCCGAAAAAAAAGCATACAAGCTGAAATTGAAGAGAATTTTTAGGCTATAAAAGGATTTCAAAATTTTTGATTAATTCCGCTGTTCTAATTAAACAAAAATTAGTCTTTGAAAAATCGATTAGCATTTTAATTTTTCTCCATAGCATTCACATACTGTATATGTATATTATAATTTATTACTTTATGAAATTTGGTAAATTGGAAGTCTAAAGACTAAGAATAATACCTGAAAAAAATGTCTAAATAACAATAAATTTGGGTAAGAAAAAGTCCAATAATAACAACAAATTATAAATTCAAAGAAGAAAGACTTTGTAATTAAAGAAGGAAGAATCAAAGAAGAATCAAATTAAATTTAAAACATAATTAGAAACTTACGCATGCACCCCGTTTCCGTAAATCTCCCTTTGTAGTTGTACTTGTACATCTCTCTCCCTCTGCTTTGGCTTTTGCTTTCCTTTTAGGGTTTTTGATCATCCCTCTGGTCAATATAGGTTTTGGTATTATCTCATCTCAATGTCTGCGAATTCCAAGCTGGAGAGGTTTGTTTCTCAATCGGCGGATACGGTGGCTGTTTCTAACCGTGTGGTGGCTTCACGGTCTACTCGTCAGCCGCGGCTCTCTTTCTCCACCTTTGTTCCGGCGTCCGACAACGATTACCCGAAGAAGATGAAATCCGACGAGATATCTCCGAAGAGAGAGGAGGTTCCGGTGTCGGCGAAGGAGAGAGAAGAAGCGGAGGAGGAGGAGGAGGAAGAGAAGAGGACTTGGAATCTTCGGCCGAGGAAGGCTTATGGTGGTGGTTTGAAGAAGGGAAACGGCGTGTTCACGGCGGAGGCGTGCGTTGGAGTCGGAGGAGGAGGAGGAGCTTCGGAGGTGAAGAATCAGAAATCAGGCGGAGGAATGGAGCCGAAATCGAACAGGCAGAGAGGAATCCCGGCGGAATCTCCGGGATTAGGCGGTGGTGAGGTTGCGAACGAGAATCACAGGCTTTGGGTTGCTCTTTCTAGAGACGAGATCGAAGAAGATTTGTTCAGCATGTGTGGGAGCAGGCCATCTCGCCGGCCACGGAAGAGGACTAAAACATTGCAGAAGTATCTCGATGTAAGTCACCAGGTGTTCGACGAAATGCCTCACCTGAATCTTTTCCAACAACATTTTATGGTTTTTTTTTAATTAGTCTCTTCATTGCTTTGGCATTTCAATTTCTGCGCTTGTAGGTCATTTTCCCTGGATTGTGTCTCGTGGGGATGAATGCTGATTGCTTCAAAGTATCCAACTCTCCATTGAAGGTTTGTGCACATATATTAGCTTTGATTTATTCAATTACTTGCTTGATTAATGCCTTGGATCAACTTACCCTTTTGCTACATTGATCGGTAGATAGTATGAATTGGATCAAAGTTCAGACCTTTAGTGCTATTACAGAAGTTATGAACTTTCGTAATATGGTGCTTACAATGACACAATGAACCCCATTTTTTTAAGAGTTAGTTACTGCTATCGAAACACTTAACATCATTGTAATCCATTTTGCAGCGATGATCGATGCAAAGTAGTCTTTTGGCAAAAGAAAAAAGGTGAAGTCATCTCCTTAGTTATCATTTCCATGGATATGGTGACGTTGTTATGTTATGCATTTTTGAGGGTTAATGTGCTTAAGTAGTTGGAGCCTTGTTTTTGGTTTGTTGCAGGGTAGATAGGTATGCTGGTGATGGAGAAACCACAGTAGAAGATATCTCAAGGGACATGTTCCTGTTTCATAACAAATTTAGTAGTAACAAATATATAAGTAAATATCGGTGAGTAAGTTCATATTTTTATAGATATATATATATATTAAAAGAGAGAGCGAGAACGAGATGGGTTTGTTTTTGAGTTACTGATGATGAAATGAAGAAATCAGTTAGTAAGATGCGTTGAAGTTTAGTATAATGGCAGAGCAAGACAACATATCTTTGTTTTGTTAACACCAATTCGAACATGAAAACGATTTATTTAAACCATTTATAACTCTTATTAATACATAGTTGGAAAGTGTATTAAGATCAATTTGAAGTACGATAAGGTTTTTAAGAGGATAAAATGAAAAGAAAACCTGCAATTTGAAGGGTTATTTACAGAGAACAAATTGCGTAAATGATAAAATGATAGATTGTTTACAGAACCAGCTCTGAGCTTCTGATCGATGGATCATGTAACGAAGCTAAATGATAAACTGTTTTCAAAAATTTGATCTAACTAAAATATGTGAGCATATACGGATTAATTCTCTCTAATAATGCAATTTGTATAGTAATGACAACAAAGCTATAATAAGATAGTTACAGTTCTGAAACTACAAACTTTTGTTAGTTTTTGCTTTTTCGCTGGTTATTAATTAATCACAATTGTTTCCTATGTGTTCAAAAAGAAAAAGTGCATAGCCACTGAACAACAACCGAAAAAATATCTGCATTTAGAAAATTGATCACTGTTCAATATCATTATCATGTGACAAATATGTTTTTAAGGCTTGCTGCATTCCTAATGGAGAGTACCTAAACCCCAATAAGCTAGATGGGCTAGTATTTCATGTTCAAATCCAAAAAGGCCCTATACACCAATCCTTGCTTCTCTTATTTGTGTTCAAGAAAAATGTGATTTCTTGTAAATTGTAGTATTTTAATTAGCAAAGAGCATGCTTACTTGGAAGAAGGTTTGTTCCATTAATTATGAACTATATTCTCATTATTACTATAAATGGGAATGATTAAATTCAGGGGTTAGGGCATATCATTGGTTATCTTAGGCCTTTTTTGTGTTTCATATCACATAATGAATAATGATTCAAAAGTCCACAATCATTTTGACTCCTCTTCTACAGCGAAGCCAAATTGTCAGTTTGTCGGTTTTAATTATTTCTTCTTAAGAATTTCATTTTTGTTTAAACATAAATATAATTAGTTCCGACTCAAGAGACTTAATCATTATGTAACAAAGTAGCTAGCTAGAGTTCTTGCCGAATAAATCAATGAAGAGTATCATTCTCAGTGGGCTCCTCTTGTTTCCAAAAAGCCGATTCATTCGAGAACCACTTTCACCGATTACATCACACACACCCAATAAATGAAGAAAAGAATCATTTACACTCTCAATAAACTGTGATATTAAACTTCAAACGTATTTGAATCCAAACCCAAGTGTTACCCTATGTTCTTTTTATTACATAGAGATTGATTACTTGCTTAGTGATCTAAATAAAGCAAAACCTATTAGTTACTTTTTTCGTAACATAACAATTGAGATAATGCATGCAATCATGTAGAGGATGGTGATAATAGTTAATATAACAAAATGATGTGATTGGTGCAATAATACTTATATATATATAATAGTAAGTATATCATCATGTGGCATTAATTTTGCTTTATCTACGTCATACACAGTCCTCGTTGTACTTGAAGTTTGTATTCCTTCAACAACCAACCACACACAATGGCACCCGCAAAAAAGAAATTGATTCCTTAGCCTGTGACGGCCTAGTGGAAAAATTAGTGACTCAGAGCTAAGTTCCATGATTACCCCTTCATCTCTACTATAATATCAAAATTCTTTTCTGGCCCTGTCTTCTTCTTTAGTGTTTCAGGTCTTCCAGAACCAGACCCCGATTCAGATATGTTATATGTAGTGACAGTTTAAAAGTATATATAGGATTCGCCGAACTATGGTTTTGTATTATCGTCCATTAACTAGAAGATAAGAGCATATTACACATATATAATGACAATTGACAACTCATAAGTAGTGAAAATCGACATATGAGATAATATGTGATTATGACTTAATTTTTACATTTGACTGTGTTTATTTGTAAGCAACGTTTGCATGTGAAGAATTAGGGGTTAATTAGATGGGAGTATATTATTAAAAGGTGGTGAGATGAGTCCGTACCTATTATTGCACGTGTCTCGCATTACAACCGAAAAATATATTATTCCAAACGATATTGTTGGTTAACCGATGAATTAATCCACATGACCACCAGCTCACACCACTCCTCATTGGACGAATAAATTATATGTGCAAGTTCGAAAACATATGTTTCTTTTTTGTTGCAGTAATATATATTCCTCCTTTTTGGCCTAGCTAAAGGTTTCAAATCTCAAACATCTTATAAATATTATTAGATCCAAAAACTAATAAAACTGAAAGAATATCTGGCAGTTTATGTTGATGTCTCGATAGATTATGTTCATTAATTGTCCAAAGTCAGTGTTATATTTTTAGCAAATTTTCTTTTACCATATTCAATTTTAAGATGTTTGAGATCATGCCGAAATAAAAAAAATGACAGTGTGAATTTTTTAGCCAAATAAACTCTTTGAGTAAACGAAGAAACGTCTAAATCTCTCCACGCTCCAGAGTTAGATCAAACATGCAAAATTAATCACCTCCATGGCTGCATATTTGTATTTTAAACTAATTAAATAAGAAATTGTTGGGTTTTAATTACTATATTTAAAGTTTATATACTCATGGCCTTTCATTCAAAATTTAATTTTATTAAACAAACTACCTAAGTATAATTTGAGGCTATTATTGATATATATATGCAATCAATTGAAAACGATTTTTTTCATCGGCATTTGTATATGTAATGATCCTCTCTTTTTCTGTTTATCAAATAACTCTTTTATTTACATTTGAAAATAAATTATACTACTAAGTTGCTGAGGACAACAAAAATAGATTTGGAAATAATAATAATAAAATATATATATATATATGAAATAAATATTAGGTCCCATTTCATTTAAATTTGGTGAAATTGTATATGGACGGCCGTTTCCAAGAAGGTATACAAAATTGTCCCTAAACAAAACTCACATGTGGAAGGCCACGTTTGAAAATCCCAAAGTAAGGAAGCCACCTTCTTCTTCTTCTTATTAATTTCTGAGAGATTTGATTGAGAGGAAGTGTTACTTGTTCCTATTTTCATATTTACTAGATTAGAATAATACTACAAGGAAGGGATGTTTGACCATGGACTGGCATGGGGACAAACCAAGGGCAGCAAAAGAAAGAAGAACATAGGAATATTTTGACCAGAGATGCACGTGTGTGTGGACATGAACACACGTGTGCTTCGCTGTCATGGGTGGTGTGCTTCGCTTAGGAATGTGTGCGCCACGTCGGTTCCACATGGGAGGATATATCGCACGAGCCAACTTGGTCCTTTCTTCCTTTTTTTTTATTTTTTTATTTTTTCAATTTCAATTACAATTACAAGCATTCCTTGAAGCTTCATTTTAATTATACACCAACCAACTAATATAAGTATATGTTTCTTTATTTTTTTTAGAAAAACATAGATTCCCTAAACCATTACTGGTTTAATCATTATGCCTAGAATCTCAATAATTATGCATATGTGTAATGTAGCAGTGCTACATATTCATACCATTTGAATTTGATGCGTTTTAAATTAAATAATGTATATATAGTAGTAATCAAGAATCAAGAATAAGGTTACGAAACGTCAGTCAGATTCAAATTATCTTCTTTCTTTTTACTGCTAAACCATCTTTCGTATGTCATTATGCGCAAATGTCAACGAGTGTTTCCTTTGAAGAGTATATAGTAAATGTAAAACATTCGAATTATTACGTGACAAGAGAATATAAATAATATTCGAACATAATTAATGGTGGAGTTAGGTCCCAAACATATAAAGTTTCTCCAATGATGACATTAATCTACAGCCAATTCTGTAGAGAGAATAATTAAGCTAGCTACGCAATCAAAATATGATTAACTACATTGATCATTATTAGTCCTACTATGCACAAAAGCAAAACATACATATACGCCCTCAAATGATTACTACATTTGAAAATACGATTTGCATTATTAAAAATTTTCTATTTTTGTTTATTTTTTAATGTAAATCCTTTTTTTTTTTATGTTGACCGAAAATAAATCTAGATATGTATAAAAATTCATATATGAAGTGGAGACAAGACCTTTAAGTACAAAACTATTGTCAACTAGACCAAAATATATAAATTTCGAGGACCGGTTTAGATCATTAATGAGAAAGAAGTTAATTCATGCGAAGAAAAATAGAAAAAGGATGAGAGTATAAATAAATGAATAATAATGATTATTACAGCAACGAAGCCGAAAATGAGAAAAGGGCGCGTGGGAGCAAATGATAGAATGTCGGCGCGTGAGGAAACAAAAGAGAACGCACGGCCGGGTCGAGTGTTTTCGGGTCCCTTTATCGTCACGTGACATGACCCACCTGCCCATGTTCTCTCTCTCTCTTGAGCCCAAACAAAACAACTATTTGAGTGAGAGACCCCTCTCACTCTCTCTCTCATTATTGTTTTATACAAATCCAAATACAACAAAATCATTACTTCTTTCGGCAGTTTTTACATAATTTTCTTCTCTGTCAACCAACCATAAAAAGTTTCCATGATTAATCTGATAATTAGCAGCAAAAAACAAAATAGATATCTATATGATTATGCAAATGTCTACAAAGAATTATGATGATCTATATAACTAATTGTTACCATTTGAAAGTGTAGGAACTTTGAATGGTACATATATAGGGAGAAACAGTCAAATTGGATTTTTCTTTTCCAAATGGTACATATATTGGTGGTGGTGTCTTATATAGTAATGATATAGAGATCCCACACAACATCCCACATGGATATGATTGGATCACAACAGTTTTCTTTGGCCCACTTCTTTGAAGGAGCTCAGATTCATGTGGATTGTGTTTCTTTTTTTCTTTTGTATTACCAACCCACTTGATTTTTTTTATTTATATCTATGATATATCTACATCCCCAATATCCATCATTTCAACAATTTATTGCCAACTCTTTTTTTTGATATCTCTTCTCATCATCCGTGTGTGATCTTGACTGATTTAGTTCTTGTTTCTGTTCTTTTCTTTTTCCTTTTGCAAGTTCACACACCAATAATGAGAGAAGAACATAAAAACTAATTAACCATGTTTTGGGTCTTTCGTCCGAAATGATTATTGACCTAATTAAGTTCATAATTATTAATAGATTAACTCTTCATCATCATGATTTATTCCTAGTTCTTGAAAACTTACTCACCTTTATAATTTGTTGGTAAATAAATGTCACATGATGGATTTGTGGCGCCACTTATTTATATTCGACCCTCATGCATTATAGAGTTTTTCTCTAGTCCACGAATTCGCAAGAAATAAAGTATAGATAGGAAAAACAAATAATAAATTTTAAATTTTAAAATATTTGAAAAATAGACTTTGGATACCATACAAATATAGAACTACATTGAGGTTATTGAAAAAGCAAACTTAAAAGAGAGGACTTATACTATTTACTAGAATAGTAAAAGAAGAAGAAGCAAAAAGCTAAAAAGAGACAAAGAGGGAACAAGTTGGGGGGATGTAATAATTGAGTTTTCAAAAGGAGCCATTATACATTATAATTGGCCAACCTGACAACAATCTCATATCATTCACTTCCTATATATTAATCCCCTCTTCCTCTTTTCATTTCTCATTTCACATCTCTCTCTCTCTCTCTCTCTCTCTCTCTCTCTCTCTCTCTCCATAAGAACCCTAGCTAGCTAGAACAAGGTTTTCTCTTGTCCTCTTTACACTTACCACCACTGATATCAATTAGATCATCAAGGTTTCTCTTGTCATCTCTCTACCACACAAAGATCAGAGCATTTGCTATACCCATTTCCTAAAAAATCTTCACTAGAAATATTATATCATGATGATGGGAAAAGAGGATCTAGGTTTAAGTCTTAGCTTGGGATTTGCACAAAGTCACCATCCTCTCCAGCTGAATCTAAAACCCACTTCTTCACCTGTGTCGTCCAATCTCCAGATGTTTCCATGGAACCAAACCTTTGTTTCTTCCTCAGGTATGCTTCTTTCTTCTTCTTTCAACAAAGTCTTATAAAAAAATACAAGGAAACAAAACAGATCTTAAAATGAACCGTTTTCTATTTTTTTACAGATCATCAAAAGCAACAGTTTCTTAGGAAAATCGACGTGAACAGCTTGCCAACGACGGTGGAGTTGGAGGAGGAGACAGGGGTTTCGTCTCCAAACAGCACGATCTCGAGCACCGTGAGCGGCAAGAGGAGGAGTGATAGAGAAGGAACCTCCGGTGGTGGTGCCGGAGATGACCTCGACATCACTCTAGACAGATCTTCATCACGTGGAACCTCCGACGAAGAAGAAGATTACGGAGGTGAGACTTGTCGGAAGAAGCTCAGGCTATCCAAAGATCAATCTGCTGTTCTTGAAGACACTTTCAAGGAACACAATACTCTCAATCCCGTAAGTTCATTTTATCTTATCTCTAGGAACGTGAGGGTGTTACTCTGTTTTAACAAGGGCTTTATGGTAAAATATGCAGAAACAGAAGCTGGCTTTGGCTAAGAAGCTAGGCTTAACAGCAAGACAAGTTGAAGTGTGGTTCCAGAACAGAAGAGCAAGGTGAGGAGTCAGAGATAGAACTCACTATTTGACCATTTCACCCCTTGAGAGCCAAGTTATTTACAATACAAATCTGTTTTGTTTAATCTAAAAATAGGACCAAACTGAAGCAAACAGAAGTAGACTGCGAGTATTTGAAAAGATGCGTTGAGAAATTAACCGAAGAGAACCGGCGACTCGAGAAAGAGGCTGCGGAACTAAGAGCATTGAAGCTTTCACCGCGGTTGTACGGTCAGATGAGTCCACCGACCACACTTCTAATGTGTCCATCATGCGAACGAGTGGCTGGACCATCCTCATCTAACCACAACCAACGGTCGGTCTCATTGAGCCCGTGGCTCCAAATGGCACATGGGTCAACCTTTGATGTGATGCGTCCTAGGTCTTAACTTTTTTATTAATACTGGTTTTATGGGTTTGTGTTACTTAATGTGGGTCATTGTACTTTTTAGATTATTGACTCTCAGCAGCTATGTATCCTTAAAATCCTTTTTGTTATATTTTTTTCCTTTAAATTTACTTAAATCTGATTAAATTAGTCATTCCTGTCTTCTTGATAACAAACAAATTTATAAAAAATCGAAACAGATTTCAGCTCTTGTTCTATTTGTTTTTCTTTTTTGCTAAACTCACCTCTTTCTAACCAAAGATACAGCTCTTCTTAACCATACTACAATGTTAATAAAATCAGTAATCCATTTTAATTTACGTAAATAAGATCTTAGTATATGCAACCAGCTTAACGTTTTACAAAACAAAACTTTCATTTTATTTTCATATGTTAAACTAGATCTGGTTATTGAATGATTGAGTTTTAAAAATCGAATTACTCACTGATCTACAAAATTAGGTTTGATATGATTTCTTTCTGACAATAGATCTTTAAAGGGCCCAAAGTAATAGAGTGCACTTAATGGGCCAATTTTTTTGGCCCAATTTGTTTTACGTCGTCGCCGTCGTCGATTTATCACTCAAATCAAAAACTCTTCCGTATTCAGCATCAGCGGTCTCAACTAGCGTTATACAAGATGCCGGGAAAAGTCCTTCTCGGATAAAATTGAGCATCTTTAATAAAAATGGTGAAGCTTTTATCTTCGTTGTTTGTTACATAGATATAGGACTTTATTTTAGGAGAGAGCCTAACGAGGCTTTTTTTTTTATTAATGGGTTCAAGATTTTGCAATCTCTACATTGCCTCGTGTTGAGAAGAAAACGTATACTCGTTCTGGAGGTAAGGCACAACGTATTCTACAACTTCATCATCCGTTATTTCGATGTGTGCTCCAGGGACACTGAGAAACTTCACTTTCCCGGCAGCATCCAAGGTTTTCAGACCAATCCAGTCCTCAGTGTAGAGCTTCGTCTGTTAGGAAGAACATTAAGTAGCCAAGTGGTTAAGAAATTGAGTTCGAGAGATTGGTTAAGTTCACCTTTTGAGGAGGCAAAACAGGTGTGGAAGCTCCATCCGGGTAATATCCGAACCAAGAAGTTTCTTTAGGAATCATTACATTCTCTTTCTCGAACTGTTTAGGAAATGGAAAAAGATAGAAAATTAATGATGAGCTAAATTAGCAATTTGGGTAAAGGATCATTGGTCTCAGAGAGAGAGAGAGAGAGTGGCACCATGATGAGAACTAAGTGGTGCAAGCTGGTGAAACGGTCTTTGTAAGTAGAGTTCTTCTCGAGAGGTCTCTCGTTGTTTAGCTTCGGCAGATACTTGGAGTTTTCCAAATAATTCTTTATATCCTGAAAAACAGATAACGTTTTGTCCATTGAAAGTATAATTGGAAATGATTTTGAGCATTAGAGAGTAAAGGGTTTGAGTTTACTGTAGGGATCTTGACGTAACCACTTGGAGCAATATGATCCTGCAGAGTCATTATAAGTGTTGTTAATGATGGCTGTAGGTTTAAGTCCTGTTTAGAGAAGAAGAATGAGAGAAGGTTTACTTGAGCGAGGTCGGTGTAGACCTGTGAAAACACTGCCTTGAGGATCAAGCAAAATAGAGACTGTTGTAAACAGAGAACCCCATTGTTGTTATTATTGTGAGATTGTGATTGTGGTCGACACACACAGAGAAAAATAGAAACGGAAGAGAACTCACAGTACACCAATCAGGGATTGCGGAGACGCTAGCGTGAGGACCTCCTACAGATACATAGTTGAAGACTGGTGGAGCATTGTCGCAAAACTCTATAAGACATCTAATTATTTATATCTTTGACATAATTAGAGAGTATGTATGTTTTTGTTTGACGGCAAATATAAAAGGATGATAGACGAAGATATAAACAATAGAGAAGATATAATACTTTTATAGAAGAGTAACAGAGCGATAGAAGTTTGTATTAGTAAAAACTTTATATCAGAGGTTGTGAGGTGTATGTATGAATTAGTTTTGATCCCTTAAATAGACAAAATGTGAATTATTCTACTGTAAGACGGTATGCTCTACGCCAATTAATATTTTGGCTCTATTCAAGTTACTATTTTCCAAAACGTTTTTTGCAAGTGTTGGTCGTATTCTTTGAACTCTTACAAACAATATGAGAATTTTCAAAAATAGCTTATAGATGTATGTTATAAATTTAATTTTAATTTGTTTCCAGTTGTAACAAATTAAACATTGAATTACTAAGACGAGTTGTCTTGTCCACACTCGTTATTGAAGTTGTGTTATAGTTGTTGGATATACCGGTCTTTCAAGGTAGAGGTTTTTAATTTCGTCAGGATCTCTAGTTGTTAAACTTTGAAATGTTCCAACATTTTTTCATATACAAAAACTGAAGAGACCGCGCTTGAGGTTTGAAAATTAAACTAAACAGACGGTTTGATATGATTTTTTACCCAAAACAAAGTGATCACCACCCAAGTAAGTTAATTAAAGGGAAGCTTGAGTAAAGTAGCCTCTAGCTTATACTACGAGACTGATAATAATTTGGATAAAAATTGACCATCTTTTGATAAAACTGATGAAGCATTTATTTATTTTATTTCAACTCATACATAGATGATGATGTTACATTCATAAAGACCTTTATTTTATAGGATGAGGCCTTTTTTATTCTCGTTGGTTCAAGATTGCAATGTCTACATTGCCTCGTGTTCGGAAGATAACGTAGACTCGTTCTGGAGGTAAGGCACAACGTATTTGACAAGGTCTTCGTCCCTTATTTCGATGTGTCCGCCAGGGACACTAACAAACTTCACTTTTCCAGCATCATCCAAGGTTTTCAGACCAATCCAGTCTTCAGTATAAAGCTTTGTCTGCAGAAACAATATTTATATAGTTACTGTAGTTAATAGAAACTAGTGTTTGATGATGGTCAGGTGAAAAAATTGAATACGAGAGATGACTTGGTTCACCTTTTGAGGAGGCAAAACAGGTGAGAAAGCTCCATCAGGGTAATATCCGAACCAAGAAGTTTCTCTTGGGACCAACATTGTATCGTTTTGGTACTGTTTAAGTGTTTAGGATATGGATAAAAAAAACAAAACTAATAAAAATAGTGTTTTAAGTTTGATCATCTCAAGGATCAGAGAGAGAGAGATAGTCACCATGATGAGGACTAAGTTGTGCAAGCTGGTGAAACGGTCTTTAAAAGTGGAGTTCTTCTCGCCAGGTCTCTCGTTGTTGAGCTCTGGCAGATACTTGGAATATTCCAAATACTTTTCTATGTCCTGAAAACCAGATAACGTTTTGTCGGATTGAAGTGTTGGTATGATTGGAAGTGAATTGAGGATTTAGAAAGGAAAGGGTTTTGAGTTTACAGTAGGGATTTTGACATAACCACTTGGAGCAACATGATCCTGCAGAGTCATATATATTATTGGTGGTCTTAATGATATGTATTAATCATGGTTTAAGGTTTAAATCCTCCTGATTAGAGAAGAAGAGAGAAAAGTTTACTTGTACTAAGTGGGTGTAAACATCTGAAAAATGTTCCTCCAGCAACTTGCAAACTAGGAGCTGTACGTAAACAGAGAACCACATTGTTATTGTTACTGTTCTTGTGATAAAGAATGTGATTTTTCTGAAAGAGAACTCACAGTACACCCCTCGGGGATGGCAGCTATGCCAGCATGAGGACCTCCTAAGGAGACATAGTTGATGACAGGTGGAGCATTGTCGCAAAACTCGATAAGTCCTCTAGCAACTAAGTTACCTTGAGACTCTGCAACAATGTTGTAACCTTCACTCAGCTCTGGCATCTGTTTAATTTTCTTACAAGCTTCACTCGCTTGTTGCCTAATCGGCATGAATAAAGAATCCAGTAGTCCATTTCCTATCTCTCTACAAGATGACACAAAAACAGAGAGACAGACAGGGGTAAACCATTATGCAAGATTAGGATGAAACAAGAAGAAGAACAAGATTAGTTTGAGTCAATACACGCAAGATCCAGGGTGGCCGGAGAGGGTGCGGAGGGACAGTGTTAAGTTGCTAACTTTGTTATTGGAACATTCACCTCCAAACCCTGTTTCAATCAAATCCATTAATGTAGATTAAAGGAGGAAAAAGAGAGGAGCAAGAATAAGGATTAATGTTACTCACCATGAAACACAACAAATGGAAGAGAGAGTGAAACTGGAATGGAGAAACTGAAGAGAGACAAGGTGATCACAAGGAGAGAAAATCGTTGGAGACTCTTCTCCATTGAGCTAGCTACTCAGCCGATGAGTACCGTCGATTCTTTCTTAAATAAAACACACAAAAGAAGAGTATTTTAATTTTTGAGGAACCCAAAGAACTAAGAAGCATGACGGCAAGAAATATTTAATTAACGTAAACAAAAAATTCAAGAACTCTACGTTACGTGCATGTATATGAATTACATTTAACTCATCTAAAATTCTCTTCACGGTGATAATATCTTCTTCTTCTTTTTTTTTTTTTTTTTTTTTTTGTCTTTTTTACAAAGCAAAGTTATAGAACGCATTACTGGTGTTGGTATAAAAAAAAGTATATATACATGTATATGATTTTATTATGTTTGACAGCAAATAGAAAAGTATGATAGATGAAGATATAATTAATAGAGAAGTTATAACACCTTTGTAGAAGAGTAACAGAGCGATAGAAAGTTGTGAGGTGTGTGTATGTATGAATTAGTTTCGATCCTTTATATAGACAAAATGTGAATTATTGTATTTGTACTGTATGACAGGTAAGCTCGACGCCAACTAATACGTGGCTCCATACAAGTTAGTATTTTCCAGAACGTTTTTTGCAATATGTAGTTAATAATTGATTCTACATATGTAGTTTCAATACCTGTCACAAAATATCCAAATAAGTCACGGACCAACTTTGCAACAATTGTAAGGGACAAAACGTGTTTCACAACTCTCCTGACAACTTCTCCGGGACCATCCAATGTTTTCGGACCTATCCTGCAATGCTCTCTGTATAGCGTAGTCTGGTGAATAGTTAGGTTTCTGGACGAAAAATTATTTGATCGATGAAGAAACATTCCTCTAGACGATTAATACCCAAACCAAGAAGTTTCTTTAGCGATCATTCTTGTATCGTTCTAGAACTGATTATGAATTCATAAGAAGGAAAAATGAGCTAAGAAAAACATAATTTTCAATATCATGAAATATACTAGTTTCATAGTATTTTGTTGAGGTGAGTTGACTAAATTATACAATATCATACGAAGACACTAGCTACTACATACTATACCATGAAAGAACACTAAGTTGTGTTATTTGTTAAGCTTTGGTAGATAGATCCTTTGAATATTCCAAATACGTTTGATCTTTCCTTAGACAAACCAAACTATTGTTACTATTCAGGCGTAGTTTCCTCATCTCATCAACATGATCGAGTTTTATTATTGAGTTTTGTAGTTTTCCATGTATACTTAAAAGCGATCGAGAATAAGTAGCCTCTAACGTTATACAGTACATGATGAAGCTTTTTAAAATTGTTTCGGAGAGAGCAGAGCAATGAAGTCTCATTCATGGATGCAGTGTCTCCATTGCATTAAGGTTATATCTGCATTCAGAGGAAAAATGCAGGCTGATTCTTGAGGTAAGGCACGACGTATTTTACAACTTCATCTTGCGCCATTCTGAGGTGCTCGCCAGGGACGCTGACAAACTTAACTTTTCCGGCAGCATCCAAGGTTTTCAGACCTATCCAGTCCTCAGTATAGAGCTTTGTCTGGAGAATTATATATAGTTTGAAAATAGTGGTTGATGATCAGGCAAAGAAATGACATGGTGGTTGATCAAGGTTCACCTGTTGAGGAGACAAAAGAGGTGTGGAAGCTCCATCCGGGTAAAATCCGAACCAAGAGCTTTCTTTAGGAATCACTACAGTGTCACCCTGGAACTGTTTAGGAAATGGAGCAATTAAAAATCAAATCATGAGGCTAATCTAATCAACAATGTTGTTCAAGATTTTGGGTGTTTAAGAAAGGGAGGCACCATGACGAGGACCAAGTTGTGTAAGCTAGTGAACCGGTCTTTTAAAATGGGGTTCCTCTTGTTAGGTCTCTCGTTGTTGAGCTTTGGCAGATACTTGGAGTGTTCCAAATACTTTGACATTTCCTGAGAAACAGATCACAAAGATTGAAGTATTTTATGTAATTGGAAATGATTTGAGGATTAGAAAGATGAGGGCTTGAGTTTACGGTAGGGATCTTGATATAACCACTTGGAGCAATATGATCCTGCAGAGTCATTAGAGTTGTTGTTAATGATGGGTTTTTAGTAATGCTCATAGGTTCTGAATCTTGATTAGAGAAGAAGAGAGGAAGTGTACTTGAATGTAGTCAGTGTACACCTCTGCTTTCAGCAACTTGCAAAGTGAAGACTTTTAAGAACAGAGAACCACATTGTTGTTGTTATTGTCATTGGGATTGTGATTAAGTCATATATAAATGGAAAGAGAAGAAACTCACAGTACACTTGGGGATGTCTGATATGCCAGCGTGAGGACCTCCTAAAGATATATAGTTGAAGACTGGAGGAGCATTGTCGCAGAATTCGATTAGTCCTCTAGCGACTAAGTTGCCTTGAGACTGTGCAACAATGTTGTAACCATGACTCAACTCTTTCATCTTTTTAACTTTCTCACAGGCTACACTCGCTTGTTGCATAAGCGGCATAGACACTGAATCTTGATTTCCATTTCCTATTTCTCTACAAGAAGACACATAACAAAGAGAGCAATAAGCCCTTTTACAAGATCAGAACGAGACAAGAAGAGGAAGGTGTTGGAATGGTTATACAAGCAAGATCCAGGGGAGCCAGAGAGGTTGCTAAGGAGTTGTGTGAAGCTGCTGCCTCCACCATTAGAGCATTGATCTCTAATTCCTGTTTCAATCAATATGTCAGATTACAAACAGGAAAGAGGAGTAAGAAGAAGGATTGGTTAATTAATCACCGTGAAACAGAATGAAGGGAACAGAGAGTGAAACTGGAATGGAGAAGAAGAAGAGAGACAAGGTCACAAAGAGAGCAGATCGTAGGAAACTCTTCTCCATTGGAGCTAACTATAGCTACTCAGCAGAAGAGTACCGTTGATTTTTCGTTTACACACAAAAAGAAAGAATAAAAGAGAGTTATGGGGAAACCAGAAGAAGCAAGAAGGCAAAAAGTTTACGTTTGTTACAGATTTATCTAACTTTTTGTGCTTTTGTCATAAATGGAAGTAAATTTATTACTTTGGTGGTTGGTGTTGTGTATCTACTGATCTCTACTCATCTAAATTCTTCTCTTTTCTTTGTCGGCCAATGACTTTAAAAAGTAATTGAAAATTTCCACAATATATCTACATGTATGCTTGTAATATATAAACCAATGAAGGATTAAATTGATAAAGCTAGTTCTATAAGCATTTTATAAATTTTCAGTTTTGGTCTTATTTAACAAGTGGACGTTGGAGTTAATTGCAATAGATATGAACTATGACTATGGTGATTGGTGAATCTCAAGACCTTCGTATGAGTTTTGAGTACATTAATACAAGTAAGATTTTCTTACCTATATCTACCTATGAAAATTAGTGAGCAATTTTTTGAAGTATGTAAAAGGATTCAAAAGTCTTGAACAAAATTTAATTACATTTATAGCATTTGTTTACATTTATCCACTGATTTAACCAAAAACAAAGTAAAATAGTTTATCAAAGAAAGAAGTTAGTTTTGGATTTAGAAAACTATTAAAATTGAACAACACTCCTAAAAGTTTTCAATATCTCTCATAATAGTCTCATGTTACAATTTTATTTACATACTGCTTTGCATCAAGTAAGGCACAACATATTCCCCAACCTCCTCATCTGATATACTGAGGTGGTCTCCTAATACACTTTCAAACTTCACTTTCCCGGCAACATCCAATGCTTTCAGACCAATCCAATCTTCTCTGTATAACTTTGTCTGATGCATAATGTATGCATACATGTTTAGATTTCTAGAAAACAAAAGATCAGTGAAACAAACTGGATTTTTAGATAAATTCACCTGTTTAGTTGACAAAAGAGTATCGAATCCTTCATCTTGATAATATCCAAACCAAGCAGTTTCTTTAGGGATTAATGTTGTATCTTTTTGGAACTGTTTTGAAAATAAGAATAAAAACAGAGCAATGAGCTAAAGAAAACATGTTTTTAAGTTGAAGAAAGGAGAAAGTTAGTACCATGACAAGAACCAAGTTGTGTAAGCTGGCGAACCGTTCTTTGAAAGTTGAGTTTCTTTCCTCAGGCCTCTCATTGTTAAGCTTTGGTAGATACTTTGAGTGTTCCAAATAGTTTGACATTTGCTGATAAAAACCAAGCCATTTTTGTGACGAATCGATTATGAATTAACTGATTTGATTAAGTAACTAAATAACTTACACCAGGAATCTTGACATAACCACTAGGAGCAATATGTTCCTGCACAATCATAAATATAATCAAATCACCCTCAAAGGGTTTTTTTGGTCTTAGAGAGAGCTATATAGAGATAAGAGTGTTACTTGAACGAAGTCGTTATAAATCGCCAATTTCATCAAGTCTTCAGCTATAGCACAGAATGGACCAGCCTTGACAACAAAAACACACATAAGTTATAAGCCAAGGTAGTTAAAATTAGTCACTAAGATAATGAAATAGTGAAAATGAAGCTATACATCACACTTGGGGATTGCAGCAATGCCAGCATGAGGACCTCCTAAGGAGACATAGTTGATGACAGGAGGAGCATTGTCGCAGAACTCGATAAGTCCTCTAGCAACTAAGTTACCTTGAGACTCTGCAACAATGTTGTAGCCTTGACTCAACTCTTCCATCTGTTTCACTTTCTCACACGCTAAACTAGTTTGCTTAATCAGTGGCATGAACCATGAGTCATTTTCTCCGTTTCCTATTTCTCTACAAATTTGATTAAAAAAGATGTTTAGAAGATTTAGAAAAAACAAAACAGAGAGAACCAAACAAAGTTAGGTACGTAGTTTGTTGGATTACAAGCAAGAGCCAGGAGAGCCAGAGAGGTTGCTTAGGAGTTGCGTGAAGTTACTTACTCCTCCTGAACATTTATCTCCAATTCCTGATTTTTTTTAAAATAAATTAATTATATATTAAAATTAACTAAATTGTGTTAATTAAATTATCGAATGAGAATAAAGAGATGGTGAATGAAAAGGGAGAAATCGTTAATTACCGTGAAAGAGTATGAAAGGGATGGAGATTGAAACCGGAACAAAAGAGAATAACACGGCGGCAACCACCGTGTAAAGGAGAACAGACCGCCGGAAACACTTCTCCATGTAGAATTGAGACTCCGAGAGTCTCAGTCTTCGCCGGAATATTCCTTCTTCTTCTGTTTTTCTTTTTGTCTTTCTTTGTCTCTCTCTAGTCTCGATGTTATGTTGTGAGTCAAAACGTTTTCTCTCCTTTATATGGAATCATAATTAATTTTTTCTTCAGTTTTTAAAACAAGAGTTGATTTGTGTGTTTTCTTCACTTGTCATATTTATAGGCCGTCATTAATCTAACCACATTTTTTTTGTAACATCTAACCACATATATAATATATTTTACTTTTTTGTGATTTTTCTTTTTCTACTATAGATTTATTTCTTTTTTTTATGTCAAAATATTTGATTATTTTCTTACACCTTAATAATTATTTTCAAATTTAAACATTCAGTGTGATTATTTCAAATTTAAGATAGTTAAATATACTTATGCTTAATTTTAAATATTCCAACCAACAACATTCATCATCATTAATTCTTAGTTAATATAAAAGTGGATTAAATTATTAATAGCATTATCAAGCAGTATACATATAAAAAATAGGGTGTGTTGGCAAACTAGTACGTTTTTGAAACATAATTATAAAGATAGTACATTTACTATTCACAATTAGCAAAATAGTACAATTTTACTATTTCAGATATCTGTACAGACAGACAACTGTACAGTAACATATTATTGTACATCAAATATTTGTACAAAGAGAAACAACTACACATAAACATATTTACACATAAACAAATATACATATATAGACCAGAATATATATGTACACATACAATTATACGTATATATAGACCGCTGTACGGATGATTTTCCGTACATCGACACACAACTGTACATAAGGTTAGCTGGACGTATCAAAATTTGTTTGAAAATTATATGAAATTATTTTTTTAAAAATGCATATCAAATTATAGAGAAAAAAATACAGATTTTTGGGTAACTGAAATTTTATAGAAAACAAATATATTTTGATGAATATTTTTAGTTATTAGATTTAAGTGGTTTTTTAATAGTGTCTAAATAGTGTCCAAATAGTAAAAATGTATTAGTTTGCTAATAATAAATAGTAAATGTACTACTTCTACAATTATGTTTCAAAAATGTACTAAAAACCCAATTAATCCTAAAAAATATAACTTATGTCTGCCCTCACTTTTCCTTCTTTAGTGTTTACGTACATTTGAGATCTTTTGCATTTTATATATATGTTCCAAATAAGCTCAGGTCTGGCAACTTGGAAAAGAATGAGAATTTGTAATACTGATAGCCAAAGCTAAAGAATTTCGGTAAAACATATCTGATAAGTTCACCTTTACATAAATCCGGAATCCATTTTTACATTCCTAAAATGACGAGAAGAATACCAAATCGAATAATGAGGAGAAACATCAAAGTGACAAAACGAGATATCACTTACTCCCTTTCAGCTCCCATGGGTACACAGTTTTACACTCCACAAGTTCTGATTGGTTGGTTGGGTAGCTTCAGGAGGAAGTCGTGGCTGATTGATTTCTCAGGGGATCTCCTCTCTGGTAAGTCGCACTGGTTTGTTTTGTAGATACACAATCTCTCTGTCAGCTGCATTTATGAGATGCTGCTCTGATCCTTCTTCATCTGACACAGAAGATGCCTCTGAGTTTGATTCCTCCTCATCTACACAAAAAATATATAGGATGCCATTTATAATTTGGTTTGATCACAAAGGAGTTAGGATTTTCTTGTTATAACACTCTCCTAATTAGGAGCTTACCAGAGAATTCAAGGCGTTCTGGAAGAGCACTAACAGCTGTAAGCTGAATGCTTTCTGGCAGAAGACAATTACAGAACGAACCTGAAACCTCAACAAATCACGAGTAATGTTTAGCAGACCAAAATTTTGGTAACATAAGACAGGGAAAGTTTTTATATCTTTTACCTACTCGGGCCAGCCGATTAATCCATCCAGGAATAGGCTTTCCTGTAAGCTGCGAGCATACTTCTTCAGTGAAATGGTTACAGTTCTTGGCAATCAAATGGTAAGTGTCACCATGGTATTTTCTTGAAAGCTTCTCCATGTAAGTGCGGAAATCTGAACGGGACATGGTGGTAGTTCCCAATAAAACCGACCGTCGAAAGATGAACCCTGGACAGTTCCTAGGTTCTACTTCATATACCCCACTCGATGGATACTCGTGAGCTCCATAGCAATATTCCAAACCATGAGCTACAATAAAGTTGAACATCCAGAGTGAAAAAGGGCAATGAATAATATACAACAACATAACAAGCCAACACTTTTCTTGGTCTTACAAACAGTCCCTTCTAAGAAGAGCTTAGCATTGACGCCTAATCATTAAAGCACGACTTGCCTAGAACATTAAGACAGCTAATTTTTCTATGTATCTCTTCAAAAAGCCTAACGATCTCACCTTCAAAAAAAATTACTAAGTAGAAAATGTTCTCTTTCACTGACATATAAAAAGATTTCGTTTTGTGATCTCAAATGAGATCTAGTAAGATACAAGAACCAAGAGAGAAAGAGAATAAACATACCCTCAATTCCAGAATGAAAAATGCCAATACCAAACCAATAAAGGTAATTGTTGACAGGCGTAAGATCATAGACATTGAGATAAACAGGGGTAAGCGTAGCTTCTCCACTGCTCTCTTCCCTCTCCTCACTTGAACATGAACTAGAGCTCAAAGTAGGCGCCCACATTTTATTTACAAACAAAACCCACACACACACACACACACACAATTATCTCCCAAATTCAAAAGTCACGATCCGATCATCCTTTTCTTCCTATACCTCTGCAACACTAAAAAATGATTGCCACATATTCATATTAACACCAAAAAGTTAACAACCAAAATGTTTTTCACAACGTAGATCAAATTTAATCCGAATTCAAGCAATTCTTCGAACATACAGAACTTCGTTGGTGGCTAACGAGAACAGATCCAAGGATTCGATTCCACAGTTAACAATATTGATATACAAAGAAATACCTAAACCTGGAAAAAGGAAAATCCAAATCGGGACACAAATTGACATTGAGGTGCGTGTGTGTTTCATTTGACGTTCATATACATAAATCGAGAGAGAGAAAGAGAGAGACGAAGGAAACGATAAGAGGAGCTTACGTGAGAGTCGAGAATTCGAGAGAGAAGAGATTTGGAAGAGAGACTGCAACACAAAATTATGATCGAGAAAAGTAAAAATTCACGGACGGAGCTTTTTTTTTTTTTTTTCCTTTCTTTTTCTTTTTCAAGATTTGGAATTCATTCGTTACAACTTAAGTATTGAACTAAATAAATGAAAGTCAAATTAAGATAACCACCGTATTACATTAATTAATTCGACATATGTATCATGCTGGCAAAAATATATAATACTTCGATATATCACATTAGTTGGCATATCATACAAAAGTTAATTCGATTAAAGTGTCTGTTTTTTTTTCTTATTTTACAATGTCTGGATTATAAGAAGGGGAGCAACGATAGGATCATAGGAAATAATATCATACTTTAGAATCAAATTAAAGGGACCTGTTTTCAAATCTTAATTTATCTTTAAACATATAAACCGTTTGTACAAAATTCATTTTACAATTTAATTGCTTGTTGTTAATCAACTTTACAATTTTATAGCTGAAAGTAAACAAAATATAAAAAAAAATTCGACAAGATCCAATAGTTTCTCACTACTGGTAATTTGGTATATATATATTTTTTAAACATAAGATATCTAGTTTTAGAATATGATAAATATAAGTCGGAACTTAATTTTCATATGTGCGAGAATAATAAAATCTCGACATCGTTCATTCCACGTATGTTACGGTTGTAATTTTATTTTTTTATAATAAATAAGAGGTAAAACCTTCTACAAAATATAATTAATAAGAGGTAAAACCTTCTACAAAATATATATATATATATATATATATATGTGCGAGAATAAGTTAGTGAACAAATATGTTTTTCTTGATGGTACAAGAGTCAATAAATTACTAAATAAAGGAGTAAGTAGGCAAATCAAACATTTAGTAAAGAAGCAATGAAAGAAATACGTAAGCAACAAAAGCAAAGAAGGAAGCGAGTAGACAAATAAAGGTTGTAAACAAACAATGAAAGAAGCAATCAAAATTGACGGAAGTAATGAACCAAATAAGTTAAGCAATGAATGAATAAATTGAGTAAGCAAATATCAAAGAAACACATTAAGCATAAAAAAACAAGTTTATATATATGGTCCAGAAAATAATGAAGTATTGAAACAAATAACCAAATAAGCAAACAAACAAAGTATATGCAATGGATGTAGCATGTAGGCATGTAGCAATTGAGTAAAGTCAAAGAAACAAACCAAAGGGGAGGAAGCAAGCAGATAATGCAATAAAATGAGCAAAGCAAAGAAATAAGCAAGTAAAGAAGCAAGCAAATGAACAATGAACTTAAGCCAATATGCATGAATATATTATGTATGTATGCACACATGAATGCATGAATGCATGAAGGTAAGCATGCACACATGAATGAGAGATTCAAGATATCAAGCGAGATAACACTATCAAAGGAAACCAAGGAACAGAACAATATATATTGATAAAGTAGTTGGTCCATACCTGGTCACTCACTAAAAAGTTTTCACTTGTTTCAAAAATACGTTCACATAATCCGTTGGCTAATATCTGCTACTGCATATAAACAAAAGAGACAAAAACGTCAAGCTATTGAGAAAATGTTGAAATACTAAACAGAAAAATCGATGATGAACAAAAATTTGAGTGAATGACTGAACTTAAGAAACTAGAATATAAAGTCCAAAAATCGAAATCAAAAACCGTTGTTTCTTTTTAATTAGACGTCTGATCGGTTTCCTGGCCAGCTTACTTATCGGTTTCCTATCTGGTTCTTGACTTCTTTTTGTAACTACATAAGTTCTGTTATCATAATTTACAAATGGAAGAGGATTAATTAATTTAATTTAACAAGAGGTCCAATAAATACCAACATTATGTTACAAACTGAAATTAATAGGAACGTTAGTTAGCGACAATAGACCGAAGCTCCGATCGTGCAAAGGTTTAGGATATTGAAGAATGAAGGTCGTATTAATTAAAAAGAAATGAATAAACGAATATATTTCCACGTCAGCATACATCAAAGCTGACCCAACTGAAAAAGAAAGAAAAAAAAAAAAGAATTCAAACAACAGTCAATTGTGGAAAACCAAACGGTGGGTGTGGAGATAACGGCGATAAAAGCGGCATGCTCAGAAACTCCGTCAAATCCCAGTCATCTATCGCCGTCAAATCTGACTTCGCCGACTCAACGTTCACACCCCCAAAGGTAACGTCGTGACTCTCCTCCGTCTTGAGCACCTTCTCAGCCACCGTCACTTCCTCCTCGCCACCGTCTCTCTTCCTTTTGTTGTTCTGGCCATGACCATCTTCACCCCGTGGATTCCATTTGTCAACTTCGAGCGGGAAATTGACGATCGCCTTTGATCCCCGGAGTCTAAACGCTGCTTTGTCGTAAGCTCTCGCCGCTTCGATCGCCGTCTCAAACGTCCCGAGCCAAACCCTAGTTCCACGACGGTTAGGATCTCGGATCTCCGCCGCGAATTTCCCCCACGGCCTCATCCTCACTCCTCTGTAGTGCCACTTCTCCTCTGCTACTACTACCGGTGGTACGGGAATTTCCGGTTTACGATTCCCGGTTGCGAATTCAATAATTTCCGGTTTATAGTTCCCGGTTGCGAACTGAATCCACTCGGTTCGGTTAGGTGGCGCGATCTTTAACGTTTTCGGTTTACGATTGGATTGAACAATCGGATTCGATTGGAACGTAAAGGAATCGTTCGACTCTAGTGAGAATTCAGATTTCACCTCGAAATCAGAAATCTCCGGTTTAGGCGTGACGAGATCGATTATTTCCGGTTTGGGTGTTTCAAAATTGGAAAACTCAAAACCGGTATGATCAAATGACGGGAAACCAGGTGAACCGAAGATTGAAAAATCCGGTTGGTTCATCCATCGATCGGTGGGGGCATGAATAGGAAGCGGAGAGAATTCGTCGAGGAGATACTTCTTGATGAGGAGAAGAGCCGAAGCTTCGGTAGGTGAAGGCATGATGATGATCAAAATAATATAAAAGAGAGAAATGGAATGAGGAAGGAGGAGGAGTTGATGATTTGAATTGACAGTGGAGAAGAGAGTGGGGGAGAGGTATTTATAGGAAAGAGTCAAGTCAATGAGAGACTCTTTCAAGGCAACATCCTCAGACTTTTTTTTTTATTAGGATTTATAATCAGATGCGGGAAGGTGTATCTATACTCGCGTGCTTTTATCGTTTCCCACCGTTCGATTAGGTTGGAAACCCTCAGTCAACGGTTTATTTTATCGTCTGGTTCACCGATGGCAGCTGAAGTAAGGAATATACAAAGTACTGATCCAGGAGGAATCCGTTTGGCTCAGGGCTGCGATCTAATATAGGATCTATATTGTTGCTTCTTTGTAGATTAGGCAAGAGTTTATTATATCATGTTTACCAAAATATAAAGTATGGTATATTATAAACTACTTCTTCGTGTTAGTATTTGATCTAATTTACTTATACAAGTTGTGAGAATTTAGTTGCTCCCCCATCATGTATTTCCAATTTCAGAAGTTATCGTCCGCCGTCACAACTCGATGTTTGGATATAACACACGTTTTCTTTACATGTATAGAAAAGCTTTAAAACATGAAAAAGAAGTTGTCTTAAACAAAAGTTAAAAACATGAAAAAGAAGTTGCAATAAGTAATGAAAACACCGGTTTTAACTTTCTTACACGTACGTCGTCGGTGTCGCCGGATGTTATTAATAGTTTAAGGAAAGAAGAAGACTAGATTCTCCTTGTCCACGATGTTTTTGTATGGTCTCCAACATTTGGTAGACAAAGACCCAAAAACTTCTCTCTCTTTTTTTTTTTTCTCAATATGTACAAATAATATATATCCATTACAAGTTACAACTATCTTTGTTTTCTAATTCTCAGACCACAAAGCTGTTTTTATTCCTATGATGAACACATACTAGGTGTGTTATATAATCTTTTTAAAACTAAATGTTGCAGAGAATGGTAAAACAATTCACCGATACTTTGTTTTGTGTTTATAAAATTATAGCTTTCATTTGAAAGTTAATCAATGAACGCACAAAATGCATGCATGATTAGAGGAATTGATCATATTAATTAACGTTTTAATCTCAAAAGATAAGGGCTGCGTGATGCCGTAATGCCGTAATTAGAGGAATCGTAATATTAAAGTTAGTTATATAGTCTCATTTAATTATTCTACAATGATTATAACCCTAAAACAAAAATATTCGATCACAACAAACAAACCATGTGAGACCACTTTTGGCGTTGCTGCTTTCGAACGTGATTTATTCTTTTTTACGTCTTCCTACGAATGTGCTTACTTCATTATTACCGATTATTTTCATCATCAGTCATTTTTTATATCTAAATTTTTAGTAATTTAAATTGATTCATACGTGAAGCTAATTTACAAAGCCTACCATTACATATGCTAAGAAGATCTATCCCACATATAGGTTTAGATGATTCTTCTAATATATGTTGTCAAACTCTCTACGTTTTGATCACTTTCTTAAAACATTTTGTAAGTATATACTTTTACATGTCTAGTTCAGGGATGTTCAGCTCTCTGTGTCCAGGTACGTATGTTCTTGCAATTCTCTTTGTTTCAACATGTACTTTCATATGTTTATAGGTCACGATAGTTTGTAGAATATTCGTGTTTACTATTTGTATACAGGAAATTAATAATAGTTCTTTCAAGTTTTGCTGCAAATCTAGTGAAAAGGCGGAGACTTTAATTGTTTTTATTTGATCGTCATCATGATTCACGATGTTCAATATTCTCTTGTTCAGTGTCATATTTTCATAACTTAACAATGATCGATTGTTGATTGATTTCATATTATTAGTCTTTTTTCGAACAACACGTATTTTAAATTTTTACATATTAAAACTAGGATAATGACACCTTAACATCAGAATTGTGTTTTACGTGTTAGAATAAAATCCATTTGCCTAAATATATAAAGCTTTTATAAAATATATACACGACACAGGCTTACGTATTTAGTTTAACATTATGTGTTTAGGTTCTCTGTTTAAGAAGCTAATTCCAGTAATCAGTTCATCACAATAGTTAATGATTTACATACATAATGATATTATTCTGTAATCATAATTTTAATTTATATGTGTTAATTGTATGTTAAAGTGTGCTATCCCGGTCCTAGTTTAGTTTATATAAGAAAAAGAGTTTGATGTAACTAAGTTCATACTTCCTTAATGAAAGTATCGATCGTAGCAGTTTTTATTTTCCTTTTTGGGTATCAAAAAAATTATTTATATACATTTCTTTTTTGGTTGAATATGAAACGATCGTAGCAGTTGGACATAAAGAATGAATCATTCTGAGAACTAATTAAGTTGGAATTTGTTATTTTCAACGAAGGTAGTAGACAAGTAGGTAGTATTAAATAATATTTGGGGTAAAAAGTAATCAACTCTTAGCTTTCTATTCAAAAATTGTATAAGACGGCTGGGGTACGTGCATGCATGTAATGTAAATCTAGAGTCTCTTTCAAACTTATGATTGAACACGTGCGTTTATTACATTTTACTTCGCTTTCTATAATGAAGTACATCAGTTTCAAACCGAACGACTACAAAGAATATGTCAATAACACGAATACTTGTTGTTAATGAAAAATGTTTTTACAGTTTGGTAATATACTAAACATGAGAAATTAAGAACCTAAAACGATAGTTTTCTTATTGTTTTTACGTCTTTAATTTTTCAACGGACGAACAAAACTTTAAAATTGTGTTCTTTGTTGCTAAAAAAAAAAACAAAAAACAGAAGGTTATCATCTTTGTCGAAGAACTCAAATTGCGCAGTGAGGAATTAATACACGTGCGGGTTGGTTTGCACGTACGTCCAGATTTTTTTGTTGAAATTTCTAATATGGTCAAAAAGTCTTACACGACCGAATTTGGTCAATTTCAAAGCTGACGTGTCATATGCTTCCCCTCCTTACCATTTTTATTAAACTTATTAAACTAAAAGCAACTAATAAAAGTTTTGATCGATATATTCTTATAAAGTTATAACTAACTATAAGCCATATTTTCGGACGATTACGAAAATTTATGAAAATTAGTAGTCTGAAATATTACAATATGTACTAGAAAATCAGATGGAAAGACAAACCAAAATTTAGTTCACTAGAAATTTTATAATTTCGCAAACGAAATTGTTTTTTAATGATAGAAAATATGTTGGAAAAAAATGATAGAAAATCATGTTTTAGAGGGTATTACTATATAAAACCAATTATTGTAATCTATGAGTTTTGGAGACGTTTCAACATTGAAAACGACACATCACAATTATCTACTTGAATTTTACGTTATCTCTTGACAATGATGTATGTGTAAGCCAAACATAATTTAATTGGACAGTAGTACTGATTACGATCAAAATAAAAAGTAAAACCATTTGTTACTAATCTAAACAATGGGCTCTCTCTGGCTTTACCCCAAAACTCATCTCTTGCCGAGCCTACAATCTTAATTAGAGATATCTAAGGCAATTTTTATTTTATTTATGTTGATTACATTTATATATCCTTAATTAGGCAAATTTGGAATTATTGATCAATTGCTAAAATCTATTAATTTCAGGTAGCAACTGGGGTTGGTTTTCCCGTGACTATAAAACATATATACTATGTTATTTAGTTGTTGTCGTTGGTGATGAACATGTCCGTCTCATATTTATTTTTATTTTACTTTTGATAAATTTTTTGTTTTGTTTTGATAGTCAATATATAATTAAAAAGTCCACAAAATAAGCACGTCATTGATTTAAATAAATATGATACAACATTTTTTCATGAACCATGTAACTAAATGCTATGTTTTACAAAATTTTTATTTTAAAAACAGTTAATGTTAACTAAAATTGTTCCATTAAATGTTGCTAACGTTGAATTAAAACCCCGAATTAGCTAGGCTAAGAATATATATAATCCAAGAATTAAGAGCTAAGATCTCCAGTTAGATTTTCCAACAAAGGGATAAGAATATAGAGAGCTTTGATGTGATCGCAAAGCAAACCAATAGAGGCCGTGCAATTGAGTAATATTAGACAAAAACATCATCTTTAAGCATCCTTCCCCGAAGGAGTCTCTCCATTTGCAAGTTGATAAAAGCGAGAGAGACCCACTCTCATTCACTTTCCAACTTTTAATAATTAAGCTCGACATATAAGAAATATATATATATATATATATATATATATATTTTTCTAGTGCCGTAGTGCGGGTATTTTTTCGATACTTATAGAAAAACATTCGAATTGTTTAGTTTACCATTAATCTGGTGTATGTGATATGTAATACATGAAGTCATGAATTTAAAAGTCAGCATGTTTTTATTGGAAAGCTTTAAACAAATCTTAAGAGCCTTCCAATAATGATGGTATAAAAGAGTTTATAATAAAAATGAGTTATTATTGTATCTGGTTTCGAACAATCTTTTAAATTTGTTGTATATTAAATCTTCGTAATGTTTGAATAAATTCGAATTACTCTTTCCCACGAATTTATGACTTCAGATTACTACATATTCTCGAAAAACCTATTAAGAAAATCTTGGTTCGTGTCATGTAGTCATCTGAATCATAAATTTTGTTTTAAATTTAAAAAGTTGCAAAGTTTTTTCTTTTACACCTAGAAGTTTATGTTAGCAAAGGATATAATCTTTATTAGGGATAAATATCACACATTGGAAGTTGAGTAGGATTTTAAGTGGTATATATAAGATATGGGCATCTCCACTCATTGTCAATTGGTTTTAGGTTGGAAGCCCACAATCTAATATGGTATCAGAGCCCGGTCCGCACATACTCAATCCAATCCACAATCGGTCTGGCCCATAGTTGGCCCACCGATTCATGCCCAAACATATCGAGATTTATGGTTAAAAGAACCATCATCTCGAGGGGGCGTATTAGGGATAAATATTCCACATTGGAAGTTGAGTAGGATCTTAAGTGGTATATATAAGATATGGGCATCTCCACTCATTGCCAATTGGTTTTAGGTTGGAAACCCACAATCTAATAGTTTAAAGTATGCAAATCTCTAATCACTCAAAACAGAGATGCATGTTTTGTTATAAAGACAAAACTCAAAGGGTTCTACTAGAGGTTTTGTCAGAGCCTCGCTTCACTAAACTACTAGTTCCTAATTCAAGATTGGTGGGCTTCACGTGATATTGTCTCCAAATCCCTTGCGTAACCGTACAAACCCATGTGAATGATGATGAAGAAGAAGTTGCATCCTTTGTTTCAAGTGAACCGTGAGAGGAGTGTCAATAGTCTTTGCTTTAGAGTACGTGATCACTAAATTCCTTATAAGAACAAACATTACAATGCATCCTTACTCTTTGTCCCTACTTCAAATCCAGAAAAAATAAGATGAATTAGATTTGGATAACTTATATCTATCTGTCATCTATACAAGACTATTTAACAAAAAACTTAGAAATTATAAATTTAAAGACCTAGTTTTATCATCAAAACTTTTGGCAATATACATATGTGTTTCCGTTAACCGGCGGTTCAAGTAAGGAACCAGGGGCTATAAAAGTCATCTAAAGACACAAAAAGCCAAAGACAAGTTGTGAGAGAAGACAGAGACCAATCACAACATTGCTTCCGTAGATCACGTGACATCATCCTTGACGGCTACTTCTCAATTTTATGTGTGTCTTATATGGATAAAACGCACGTGTTTAATTCACGAACCTTCATAGCTCTTGAGAAAAATTCCATTACTTTCATATTTTCAACTTTTTTAATACCCCCACTATACTCCTTCAATTATTTTATTAATTACAAGTCTTTGTCAAAATTTTCAAACATTTTTCCAGGTTCATGAACCTTTTATTTTCTCTTTTTCTTTATCTCAATCTTAAATCTCAACGCTCTCTCTATATATATACACCAAAAAAACATCTTTTATTCTCATTCACACCAGACACTTCGAAATCTCTCAACAAGAACCCCAAAATAAAAAAAAAACACATTTTCAAGAAATACAAAATATCTCTCTGTAATTAATGTCGATGATGGCGGGAACACAATCTGACTACGCTTTTCTTGACTCGATACGGCGACACTTGCTTGGTGAAACAGAGATGCGACTCAGTGAGTCGATTACGAGTTCAGTGGAGCAGTCTTGTACTACAGGTAACAGCGTCGTTAAACCTGTGTACGGACGAAACCCTAGCTTCGGCAAGTTGTATCCTTGCTTCACCGAGAGCTGGGGAGACTTGCCCTTGAAAGAGAACGATTCAGAGGACATGTTAGTTTACGGTATCCTCAACGACGCTTTTCACGGCGGTTGGGAGCCGTCTTCTTCTTCTTCCGACGAAGATCGCAGCTCTTTTCCGGCGGTTAAAGTGGAGAGTCCGGAGAGTTTCAGTTTCGGGGCGGTGGATTCTGTTCCGGCGAAGAAAGAGACGAGTCCGGTGGTTCCTGTAGCGGCTGCGGTGGCGAAGGGAAAGCATTACAGAGGAGTGAGGCAAAGGCCGTGGGGGAAATTTGCGGCGGAGATAAGAGATCCGGCGAAGAACGGAGCTAGGGTTTGGTTAGGAACGTTTGAGACGGCGGAGGACGCGGCGTTGGCTTACGACAGAGCTGCCTTTAGGATGCGTGGCTCCCGCGCTTTGTTGAATTTCCCGTTGAGAGTTAATTCGGGAGAACCCGACCCGGTTCGGATCAAGTCCAAGAGAGCTTCTTCTTCCGAAAATGGAGCTCCCAAGAAGAGAAGAACGGTGGCCGCCGGTGATGGAGCGGTTAAGGGATTGACGGTGAAGTGCGAGATGGTTGAAGTAACACGTGGCGATCGGTTATTGGTTTTGTAAAAGTTTTGATTTTTCTTTGTTGGGTTATTATGATTTTCTTCGCAAAAGGAAGAACGTTAATAAGAAATTCGTTTATTATTATTACAATTATAATTTAACCTCCCAATCATTTCATTTAGGTGGGATCAAACTTTTTAAAAATAATAATAATGAAACTATAACATAAGTAAGAAAGAAAACAAATCATTTCCCATTACAAGTGGGATAAAATTTGTTTAGGAAAATGATAACATTTGTGAGAAAATTCAATATTCTGAATTTTTGTAGTATATACAGTACAAATAAAGATATTTTGTGGACAGATACATGTGCACAAGACTTTACAATTACACACAGCAAATTTTTTGACTTTCTGAAGTAAATTAGTATTATCTTTGGTTATGCTGATCAGCTGATGCATAAGCAAATAACGTCACCACAGTTTTAATTAGTGCGTTCGTTTATAAACACTATTAACAAATTAGTACTTTAACATATTTCTTTTAATACTAATTTTTTAAAAAATTATGTGGTGTAATGTTGATGTGAACATTAGATTTTTTATGAATGTATCATGTACATATTAAAAAGTATACAACCCAATTATTGGAGAAAAAGACACAGTCACAGAACTAATTAAAAATCAAAAATCAAAAATCAAATACAGACTGATAATAAATACGACCAAACGTGAGAATCTAATAAAAAGCTAACAACCACAATTATTTTATTATATTTATTTTAAATGTAACCAAATCTATAAACAATTAGTAGTAGAAGTCCCTATTGAACGTAACATATAAGTTAATTTCGATAAAAATTGGAGTTGGACAAGGTTGCTTTGGAGAAGAACAATCTCAGCATTGGTTTTTGGCTAAGAGGTTCTTCAGTTTTTATAGATTTGGGATTGTAATAATCATAATACAACCCTAGATAGGAGCTTCGACTCTATAAATGCTTCAAAGGAAATATAATTATTGATCAATAATTCAAAGTGGCAAAACTCTTCATGGAGAGATTAACGTTTGCTTTTATATATGTTTGCTCAGTTTATACGAGGATACTAATTTACTACAGTCAAAAGTACTCAAAACTATGACATATTTTGTTCAACGAGAGATCTCAACTAAACTAGCACTTTTTTTTTGACAAAAAAAAAAAAAAAAGCTCGACTAGTAGAACATTGACTTAAAATAAATTCTATTTTTAATATCAGAAGAGTTTTAGACGTAAACTCGAACTTCTTATTTTCAACGATATTGACTTTGAATAATCTAAAGGCTACAACTTTGTTAAAAATTTTATATATACCATAGAGTGATTTTACATTGAATGTTTTAATATAAACATGTGTGAACGGGTAAGTCAAAGTTATATTAGAGAAAGAAAAAGAATCTATACTATTAAAGCTGAAGTAAACAATGAATTTACACTATAGTTTCAAAATGAAATAATTATCATTTTTAACTGGGTTAACACGCGGATCTAACTAACTAAACGGATATGTTAATCAGGTTTAGAGATTTAATCTTCATCGTTCATTTTTCAGTTGATAAAAAAAAAAATTGGTTTTCATTATTAAAGGAAAGATAATTATTACGTTTGATATTTAACTTTATTTGTAAGATAAAATGCCTAAAATTTAGCTTAATTGGCAAGATTTTCTTAATTTCAAATATTTTATAAAGATCTTGATCGAAATTTTAAACATTGGGTATTTTAATATTTGTTTTAATAGAAACCATTCCATGTTTTCTTAGTATGGAATATTCAATGTAGTTGACTTTTTAAATTATTTTAATTTTTAACTTGACCAACCAAATCAATCTATATTAACATTTTTTAAATACATTTGATAATATAACTTTTTATTTGTAAGATTTTTATAAATAAACTTTTGTCATTTCATTATATATTAAAAATTGAAGAATTATTTATTAAGTAATCATTATCCTATTCGATTTT